CAGGAATTAACCATGGTTGTGATTTCATTATCAACCTAATTTAACTTTTATTATACGCTACGATCAAATTTTTGTGAAATGGATCCAAATCTGCACAATTTTTTTTTTCAAAATTTTGAAGATGTATTTTTAACTACATTGTTCACCTGTACTAAAATCATTCCTACACATTTACTCACATATTAAGACGACACTATCCCCGCACCCCCACGGGCAGGCAAACCTACACAGCTAAAAAAAGCATCATCCTCGTTGTAAAGTCAGCTCAAAGATTTCTTTTTTCCAAAAAACTAAAACTTTAACTTTCTCTCTTTCTCCATCCCGTAAGCCTCAAGGTGTTAAGTAAGCACTCGCTCACTCCACCACTTACTCCTTAAAGTGATCTCTGTCCAAATTTCTGGAAGAAAAAAAAATCTTTCTCTTTTTCACATCCATACATATTACATCCTTGTGAAGCACTATAATAAAATCTGCACCGCCACCAAGTATTGCAACACCTCGTGCCAACATATTATATGTGCCTGGTTTAGTTTAGCGAAGCAGTGGCCGCGGAAGCTGGAGGGGACAGAGGGACAATGTCCCCACGATTGTTCGATGTCCTCATCATCTACATATACCCATGTTGTATAAACATACATGTTCACATTCATTCATTTAATGATGAATGAATAAATTATTCATTCAACATTCAAAAATTGAATGAATATTGAATGAATATTTTATTCTGATTTTGTAGTAAATAAATATCGAATAAATATCTATTCAATTCGTGTGAATGAATAATGAATGAATATTTTTTTCATGGTTAATTTTTTGCTCAATGCTTAATACAGTAGGGCAAGTTGAGAAATTCATCTAATGCTGTGAATTTTTAATAAAATGAATAAATGTTGAATAATTAATGAATATTTTTTTTACAAATTACGAAATATTTTTTGAGCATGTATGTATATAAACCCTTCCCTCCCCCATCCTACAATGTTAATGTCCCCACAGCTTCCGCGGCAACTGTAGCGCACATTCTTTTCCTTCCTCCACCTCCTCCCTTTATTTCCCCACGGCTTCAAACTCAATTTTCAAAGTTTGGCGGAATGCAAACTTAAAACCGAGTTAAAGCCGGGAGAGTTTGAAAAGATTCCGAAATCTGGAAATTATGCGGCATTCATTCATTCATACTTGGCTGGTTTGATGGATGAGGTTTCGTCCTGTGGTCCAACAACTTTACTTACTTAATAACTTTGGGGCATAAAGTCAACCAAAACTTTTGTTGTGTGAATTCTTCCTTAAAATTCATGGGGCAGCTTATCCCCAGTCATAAAAATTTGCAAACACCAAGATTGTCTGGAATTTACAGGAATTTCAGACAACTCTTACATAATTCTGGGACGAAAAAAAGAATACTATTTTTGGACAAGTTATTATTATTTTTTCCGTGGTGGAGACTTTCCCTCCTGAAAAAAAGAGATGAGATGAGATTCATGCCACGAGGACAAAGGTTAATAACAATTTGTATTTGGAGAGTGGACAAGGCCATATTTTATGAGGATGGAGGACAAGCAGGAAAAAAAATCGAGAGCATGATCAAAGGACAAGAAATCTCCATCGATTTGTCTCCCAGGCTGGAAATGTCGACCAAAAGTCATCCAATCACTTGCTTTCTGTGTATTTATCGCTGCTGAGATTGAGCTTTTGTCAGAGTCAAGAGGGGGGCTCAGAGGAGATCAAAAAATTGAGAGAAAAGAAAAAAACACGAGGACAGGACACCCTTGTTTTCGAAGGAAGAACAATAGAATATTTCTGTTTATTTTGTACAGTAACAATTTTTTTAGTCGTAAGTAATTTCAAAAGTCAGCTCTTTTACTCTGGTTCTGGTGCTTTTTATTAGTTGAACTATTCTTCTTCTTATTTTTTTTTAGATGTCAAGCATAATACGAAATGTGCTGTGGTATTTCGTCGTAAAATGGGATCGTTGTTGTTACGTTTCGGTGTTGTCGGGATGACATTTCATTTGACTTGACTTTTTCTATAAGGGAAGAGGGACGACGACACACAGTGGCCGCGGAAGCCGTGGCGACATCTGGGGACATTAACATTGTAGGATGGGGGAGGGACGGGTTTATATAAGATGGGGAGATGATGCGGACATCGAATAACCGTGGGGACATTGTCCCTCTGTTCCGCGGCCACTGACGGCACATATACGTAACTCGTTGTGGTGGTAGCTAGTCAGTCATTTGCAGGACAGGACGAAATTCCACGCGTCTCGAGAATCAGAGCAGAACAACATTTGGACAAAAATGTACGTACTGGAGGAGAAAAACCTATCCAGATAGTATTGGAATCTAGAAAACTTTCTCCTCCTCTCCTGCATGCTCAACAGTTTATATCGGCAATAAAAAAGGATCACGAGAAGAAATGTCCGAAAAGCTGATGATTTTTCGCCACTGAAAGTCACATGGCGATCTCATCCTCGTAAAATAAAGGCAAAGTGCTATTGTTTCCGTATATTGCAAATCTCCTCCTCGAAAAAAAGGCCAATAAGCCATCATGTATGTCACTGGTGGATGGGAAAGGGTAAAAATGTGCACATATATTTTCCACCCATATTGAAATGTGAAATATCTTCCATAAAATTGTCCCCATTTCCCATTTGATTTCTACTTTGAGCAAGATTTTTTATGAGAGCCAAATATGTACGACCACACCACAAATGTGCGTTTTCATTAATCCTTTTAATGCATCCTTTATGGCATATTCTTTCCCTGGTTGCATGTCATACGTCAGTTTGTCTCTGAAGTATTGGGTGGAACGATGCAACATCACGTCCACAGTGGCATTATTACTATTGAAGCACTCAACTGCCTCTGCGAGGATGATGATAACTCTCAAATGTCGCTATGTAGGCAAATCAAATCCTGCATAAATAAAACAAAGTGTCCCCGACCAGACCAGACCAAAACCAAAACCAAACAGAGAGAGAGAGACAGCCGACTTTGGAGAAAATCAGGAGAGAAAAGTTGTCCAAAGTTGTAGGATAGGAAGTGAAAGTCATAAAATGTGTATGTATGTATGCCTGGCATTCTTACGTCTCGTGCATGCAAACTTACCAGTGGCCGCGGAAGCTGTGGGGACATTAGCATGCATTGTGAGATGGGGGAGGGCGAGGTTTATATAAGATGGGGAGATGATGCGGACATCGAATAACCGTGCATGGGGACATTGTTCCGCGGTCACTGCAAACTCACCACGAGTAAAACCTGGCTGGCCTGGCTACATGCATATATTTGATTATTGAGCATTGAATTACGACGAGCAGGCAGTACTGCTACTACTAAACTGGTAGTGCTAATACTATTTACTACCAACTCCTGCTAGTGAAATGGACGAAACAGAGATTTATGGCTTTGTCTACGAGAGGATTACTTTACGGCGGTCATTTATTTTGGTTCGTTTGTTCTTCCTCGCTTGGGTTTTGATCACGTCATGAAATCACGTTATTTTCTTTCATGGCTTCCCTCGTGCTTGGTCTCTTTCATCATTTTATTATTTGCTGGAATGATGACAAGACATGTCTGTCACTTGCCAGGCTGCGAGAGCACGAGGACCGGTTTAATGTAGAGTTTGGTTTCGGTACAAATTACGAAGGGGGAGACGACATGATGCTGATGGGATGTGATTTTTCTCACTCAAAGGACGACAGCTAGTCGAAAAAAAATGGGGGCATTTATTTATTTGGAAATAGAGAGAAATGGTTGAAATCTGGGGGAGGGGGGGGGGCAGTTTGAAAGTTGACGAATATTCTACAGTCATCTTAAATAAAATGGATTTTCGGTGTTTGTCATGTGGTTTTAAGTCAATTTACAAAAAATTTCATATGTAAATAGTTAACGCACACAAATTTCCATACTTCAAAGATATATCAGTAAAATTGTGGTACGTAAAATGGATTTTCCGTGTTTTTATTAAGTTTTGAACTAAATTTACAAAAAATTTTGATATGTACCAAATGTAATTCAAAGCTATAAAATTGTAGTGTAAAGGTATGTACGTATGTACATCAATATTTCAATTCCCGCCCTCTCTCTTCATTACCTCCTCCGTATTCAAAATCGAATCGTGTAACGCATCGTAATGTCCTCTAATGAAAAACACGTCCCGTATAAATGCGTCTCCGTAATTACGCCAAAGTGTCCCAGGACCATGTCTGGTCGCAGATTTGGTCATATGTATGCACCTGCACGTTACAATTACAAACATTTAATCCACCCAGACACCAGAATACCTAGAACACACCACATTCTATTTAATGGTGTCCCTATTCAATTCTTCATGTCCAGTCTGGAAAACATATTTCAAAAGTATTTATAGGCAAAAAATCTCCCATTTTAATCGTCCTAATCCCAAACAAAAATTCAATTCAAGAACAAAAAACATATTTCAAAAGTATTTAAGCAAAAAAATGTAAAAAAAACTCACTAATCCCAACCCAAAAATTCAATTTGCGAACACAAAAGCTACCATTGTTCCATAAATATCTCACCCTTATTTTATTCTTATTAGATAAAAAGAAACATCGATCCGATAAGTGCCCACCCGATAAAATAAGTAAGAGAACAACGACCATACTCACAAAAAAGGAGGACAGGAAACGAGCATTTGTCCACTTGATGGAACACGAAGAGGAGAGATTACAAGGGAAAAAATAAGCCTAGTTGGTCACGTTCGGCTTGTATAACACGTTCGTCACGGCAAAGTTTTACCTTCTAAATAGGTAGCTCGCTAAATAGGAATACATGCTTGTATATATTTCTCTCTCGAGTAAATACTCTCGCCTGTGTCGAAACAGTTTCTCTTTGTGTCGTAAAGTTTGTCCGCGATCATTTATTTATCAGAGAAGAAAGACAAACTCTCGGAGAAAGAAGGAAAGTGGATGGATCGATGGATGAATGGATGGATTTGATGAAAGTGCTGAAATAGAGGGGTTTTTTCTGCGTACGTACCTTGGAAGGTGAGATCCTTAATGATTGCGATGAAGAAGAAGGGGCATGAATTAAGAAAAAAATGTGGTAATTTTCGCTACAGGAAGGTTCCCATCATCATTTGGACGACTCGATTGTTTTGTTGGTGGATTTATTTTCGGGGGAGGAAAATGTCCGGTTTTCTGAAGATTCTGCTGAATCTGAAAATAGATTAGAAAAATACTTCGTTACAGTAACGACAAATTGTTTACTTGTTTAAGCGTATTAAAGTTTTTCACTAACTGAGAATCGGCGTTGAGATGTCACAATTTATAATTTAAATAATTGGATTACATTAAGTAGGTATTAGTGAAGAAACGAAGCAAACGTTTGCTTTATTTGTCAATATTTCGAAGAATTTTATCTGTCATTCATTATCAAAATTTTTGAATTCGATTGTTTTGTTGTTGGATCCCTTATTTATTTTCTGGGGGGGGGGGGAAATGAACTGTTTTTGGAGATTCTGGGGTCTGAAAATAGATTAGGAAAATACTTAAAATACAAAATAATAAAATACGAAATACGAAAATACAAAAAAACCATCGAAGATAAATCTTTTAGCTGCTTAAGCGTACAAAACTTTTTCACTAACTGAGCATTGGCGTCAAAATGTAACAATTTATAATTTAGTAAAAAAATACGTAGACTTTTTTATTTCCTAAATAAATTTAAAGTTTAACTGGATTTTCTTGCTAATTTGTTTTTCTCTCTCAGAGTGAAAGTCAGTAATAATTTATTGAAAACTTGAACAATCACGACTTTTACTTTGCATGCATATATGAACCAGATTTGTATATGTATGCATTAAAATGCGTCATTTACTACGTCGTGATCTCCTCCTTGCTCTGATTTCACCCCGGAAGGAGAAAGTCACCCAAGTGAAAGAAATGTAAATGAGTGCAATTTACTTGACGAGATATCCCAAACTCATCTTCTCCCTCCTACCAAATAAAGACTCTCATTTATTCCATTTCATTGCCGACTAAATCACCCAACAAGCACACCAAATACCGTCCCACTCCATCCACCACAAGAGACCAAATAGCATCCAATATTGCGAATAACAACGACTGAGAGAGGAGTCAAATTAGGAATTTGCCTCAGCAGAGGCAGCAGGAAAACTAGACTTTGAATCTAAAATTAAAGCAAATAGCCAACTTACCACAGTATCAGGGCGTGCATAACAGTACGATAAAATAAAATTGTCCATAATCTCGGCACCAAAGGCGGAATATTTAAGATGTTTCGTACGCTTAATTAAATATGGGGTGTAGTTACCGTAATCAACACCAAGGGCACTTTGGTGGTAGGATAATTGGGGAGTTTCTGGGAAAAAATATGGTAATTAAAATATTTAAGGGGGAGTAAAAGGCATGACTTTCTCCCAATTTGTGGGTAAAGTTGCACAAAGTGCGTTAAAGTATCTAATAAAATGTGTATTTTACTCAAAATTTTTAGAAAATTTTTGCCAACTCTATAGTGAATTTAAGTAAAAGCCTGACTTTCTCCACATTTTGTACTCTAAGTTTCTCTGAGTTTTTCAACGTAACATAGAACAAAATGCGTAAAATTTTCTACTAAAATGTGTACTTTACTCAAAATTTTTGCCAAGTCTGTACTAAAATTTCTCTCCACGAGCTAGTCATTAGTATCTCCAAAACACTGGATTCCCCACCACCAGACCGTTTTAATCCCCCGTATTTGTTTAGGATCTCGAAATGTGCGTCGTCCCGTCCTGTCAGTTCCATTTGCTCTCGTATTTCAGTTGTACCGAATAAACTCGTACATATACATAAATAGTCCTCCTTTCCTTGTGCAACCATTACCATCACCACCATTCTCCAAATTCTGTGAACAAATCGAACCCAAAGTCACGCAGCGTGATGATTTCCTCCAACCAAAATTATTGCACACCAACCTCAAACTCAAAGTTATTGCTCAAGTCGAAACCGCACCCGGAGAAGAGCACCTCTCACAACCAACCAAACTTCAAAACAACAAGGACGACGGCCATCACCGAATAATAAGTTAGTTAATAATTCGACTCCTCTCAATAATAATGTGCGAATCAGGAATTGCGTTCACTCACTCCTGATCCGAAAAGTAGGTTGAGGAAAATCCGAACAAGTGAAAGCAAAGCTTAACGACTGATTAGAACGGAAACTGGGAAAATGGAATGAAACCGATAAAACTAAAGGGGATTTTCCTCTCGCATTTTATGTCTTGTTTTACAATACCCAGTTTCCCATCTCATCTGCAGTATCAGTAAATTCAGCATAATTGAATTATCCCACTTTCTCTCTCTCCAAGGCTAAATTTAGCTGGGAGAAAGTACCCAAAATGTGTGTGTTTGTATATCTGCGCGGGACAAATACATACAAACACCACCATTAATTTTATTCGCTGCACATTATCCATGCAAATTAACTCGCATAATGGGCAGGAAGAGTGAAAGTAGTGAAAGTAGTCTCCACCAGCAGGATGGGGGATTAGATTAGCCATTTATTTATTCATTCGTGAGTGAGAGTAATTCATTGGTGGAAGGAAGGCGGCTTTCACTATATTTATATTTTTTTTAGTCGTGTCCGGTAAAGTGAAAGTTTTCCGTTGTTTTATTATCGCAGCACATTAAGAAGGAGGGAGTGCTATTTATTTATTTTAAGAGTTGCTTTTACTTTTAGGCAGTTGTTACTAGGGTGGAATGCATAACATGAAAGAGAAAGAGAGAGAGAGAGAGATGACCAGTGGGCAAGTTAATTGACTTTACATGCAGTGGCCGCGGACAGAGGGACAATGTCCCCACGGTTGTTCGATGTCCCCATCATCTGCCCATGTTATAGAAACCCGTCCCTCCCCTATCCTATGATGTTAATGTCCCCAGATGTCCCCACGGCTTCCGCGGCAACTGATTATATGTACAGTAAGCAAAAATATTTATGTACTGGATTCAGTCGGTGGAATGTGTGTGTGTTTTTTGGGACTGGATACGACCCTGGTTTTGTTAGGATAGTAGAGACAGACGCACAATATGTATGGAGTACGGGAGAGAAGATAGAGTACAACATTTCCATTTCCTGGTCATTCGTAGAGCTGTTTCTGCTTTTCCCTCCGATTCAAAGAGGATGAGAACGTGGTCAGAATTCGAATAGTTTTCAGTTAAGGGATGCGAGATAAGGAAGGAAGGAAAGCTGAAGAGAGGGTTAAAGGAACGGAGAAATTGTAGGTGGGTGGATTGGGTAGGTAGTTTTGTTTGTATGTTTTGTGTAGGTAGATAGTTATTGGAGATGATGGCAAAAATGGTGTAAAAATTTTATGAAATTTTACAAAATTGAAATTATGTCGAGAAAAATTAAATTTGAAAACAAATTTAGATTTATGTTTTTTTTTAATTTTTTGCACAATTTTACGTAATTTCTTTTATGTGTAATTTATGTTATCTTGAAGGTCGCTGCATGAAATTGACAAAAAAAGCCTAAGTATAAAACTGATTAATCATTCCTCCACAAAATCTGTTTCATAAATTAATACGAAACTGTACCCAGAAATCTAAATCGGCATTAAACTGCGACTTTTCCTCTATTTTATCACTATTTTATTACTGGATAACCTTAAATATTTAATTATCCTCAATTCAACTTACATTCACCACCATTCACCCCTTCCACTAAATTCGATAATATTCCACCACCTTGCACAGCATGCCGTGTAACGTAACCAATTTAAATTCAAATTCCACCTCGGTATTCGATTTATTTGATACATTGTTAACCACCCGCCCGCTTTTCACTCGATCGTCTCCCCCTCTCAAAACCAGTGAAGGAAACTTTGATCGTCATCAATGGGTCGAAATCAGCATTCAAATTGTCCGTCTATTCCTCACTCAGGGATGAATGAGCTGGATATTTATTCATCCCGTTCGTATTCCGCGTTTTGTACAATTCTATAAACTTTATTGAAAATGCGTATCAATCAAGAAATTCGGAAATTGCGGTTTATTCAAAACCTTTGAAGTCTATCCACATGCAATTTTATTTTACAAAACAATTCATGGATTACAATAATTCTACGCATACACACACTAAAAAACAACAAAAACAACTTCTCAAACTCGTAGAAAATCGTTTCTCAATTTTCTGAACGTGGGTAAATAACCAGTAACCTTTTTCTATGCAAATGAGCCTTCCGGGTAAACCCAACTTAATGAAGAGCAAGGAAATGTTGTAGATATACAACAACAAGCTCGTAGTTCGTAAATGATGAAGTTGTTCGGCTTTACGTTTAACTTTGGCTTAGTCTCCAGTCTCCGTCAGGAGAAAGCACAATGCAAAATAATGGATGTTTCGAAATGTCAAACAAAGTCAAGTTAAGTCAACACGGCATCCATACTCGTGTGGCGGAGGTGGTTTGGTTTTGGAGGGGAGAGAAAGTTCGAGTGCGATGAGAGTTGTTCAACAATTTAATCCGTGTAAATCCCATCGTGTGATGTGATGTGAAGCTATTTTGAATTTCTACTCTGTACAAGAAGCTAGGTAGTTGAAGTTGAAGAGGTGTAATTTTATATCAATATGTGATCAGTGGCCGCGGAAGGACAGAGGGACAATAGTATTATTGTCCCCACGGTTATTCAATGTCCCCATCATCTGCCCATGTTATACAAATCCCACCCTCCCCCTATCCTACAATGTTAATGTCCCATAATGTCCCCACGGCTTCCGCGGCCATTGAATTGTGACTACTAGCTTCAGTTTATGGGGAAATGCTCAAATCAAAATTTCCTCAATTTCGGCACAACTCAGAAAAAAGTAATACTTTGACGTCGGAAAATTATATTTAGAAAATTTAATATATGCAAAATTGTATTTTTAGGTTCACTAAAAATTTCACAAAGTTTTTTTTTACATCAATTTCATTTCATCTAATGGAAAATACTCCAGTAAAATAATTGATTTACGTGAAAACCGTATGCATGCACAGTGAAAGCATTGTTGGCCCAAGTTTTGGTAAAATTAAGGCCAACTTCTCCCCTCAAGAGAGAGTGTGGCGTATTTAGACTAATTTAAAGCCCTTCTTCCTTCGTGGTCTCTGGTTAGCCCAAACTTGAATCCATCCATCCACTCAATAACTTCATTAATGTCTCTCTTAGCGTCACTTTAGAGCAAAGTGCGAATCAAGCCCAGGAAGAACAGATTATGGGATATCTCAATTTTATCTTGGGGTTATTTTCAGTAAAACATACATGGTTTTGGCCGCCCCACCCCGAGTTTTGTCCCGTGTTTACCCCCACTCGTTTCCCATAAGTTTTACTGAATTTAAACCCAGATATTTCCCCAGCATTTTATGACAATATTACCGAGGGGTTGTCCCTCTGCATTTACGGGGATTTCCCATGCTTTTCCCATTCTTTTCCCAGTGCTTTTATTCCAATAAAATGTTTTTTTCCCAGTATCTCGTACTCCACATTTCAATTCACATTTTATTTATTTCCAAAAAAAGTTACAAAATAAGATGTGAATAATTATTAAAGGTTAGATTAATTAACAATAAATTGTAAACTAAGGATACCTGCTTAACATAGGGACACAGAGGAGATATTTTAGACACATTTCGGAAGGGGTTTATCTCTTAGCTTTTTTGTTTTCCTTGGTGTACTTTTTCTTACTTCCTTCAGTATCTGTCGAATTTAGCACGGGGTCGTCAACTGCACTTTGCTCCAATTACCTCAGACGGAATTTGTAATAAACAAAATTTCATGAAATATTATTTTATTGAGTAAATGAGTTAAAATTGGAAATACAAAATGAACATGGAAATATACTTACCACGTGTTTGTGGACAAATATTTTATGTTCTTTCCACTCCAAAAGTGCTGGTTTCCTCTGCTTAAGTTGCTTATCTTTCTACAAGACTCTGTTGGCAACTTGCAAGTTTTTTTATTCAGGTTTATCCAACACGAGGGAAGAAATTGCACACATTTTTCACCAGGAAATTTAACTACAGAAAACAGTTAAGATTCTGGACAGGATTTAATATTTAATGGATTTTGAAGGAGACCAAATATGATACTGACGATGCGAGTAGGGAGACAGAGAGAACTTGCGCTGAAAAGTGTCCACTTCGATTTAAAATCGGGGAAATGAAAGGGTTTCCCAGTAATAACCCAATATAAAAATATAAATGGACGCTGGGACAACCCGGACAAAACCCATCGAATATATTATCAAAGCAGGGTCTACCCAGTAGTATTATTGAGCTTTCCCTTTGCTCTATAAAACCGACTGGTTTTCCCGATGATAATAAGGGTGTAATATATGAAGCATAAAATGTTTGGGAAATCCTATTGATTTATCTTAGTAAAATGTCATCTAAATCCCATCATACGGTTCCCCATAATTATATCGAGATTTTATTTTGTAGTTAACCCACTAAAAAAGATTCCCAGCCTATTTACAGACTTCCCACAGAAAACCCAGAGTTAATACGACTTTGGTTCTTCCTGGGAGTTTAGCAATCTTGACGACAGCTTTTCCCCACAAACTTTGACTAATAGACGACTTGCTACACGATGGGTGTGAAAAGTTGGAGAAATTTCGGTATCCTTCCGGTTTTAAATGCTATATATCGCAGAATTTATCAATTTGTTCCGGGATTAGATTGTATGGGTAAAAATGAAGGAAAAACTAACTAACTATTCCCCCCGGTGAAACTATCTCCCTGGTAAATTGCCACTTTAAGAAGTTTAATAAACTGCACCGGGTGGGTTATTATTTGAGAAAAAACGGAAGTATGGAAGACGGAAATGTTCTTAATAAAAGAATGAAGTAGTAGATTCTATCATGCATAATATTTTTAATTTATACGGACTGATGCCTCCCTCCCCTTCTAAAATTCCCCCTCGCATGATACGGGCGTCTCCTCGTTCCAGGGGCCGCGGTAGCCGTGGGGATATCTGGGGACGTTAACATTGTAGGATAGGGGAGGGACGGGTTTATATAAGATGGGCAGATGATGGGGACATCGGGCAACCGTGTGGACATTTTCCGTACCCTTCCGCGGCCACTGTTCTTCCGCTTGATATTTGGTTGATGGCGTATTACACAGTTAAAAAATTCTTGAGAGAGAGAGAGGAAATGAAAATGTGCTACGCATACTGATAAGTTGAGACTTGAGAGAGAGACGAGAAGGGGAGAAAGTTGGAACTTATGTCTTAAAGCTAGATAACGCAACGTGGTTCGTTTAGTTATGCAACCGGAAAATGAAGCCAGATGAGAGAAATTAAGTAGCATAAATTTTAAATAATGAAGGAGGATCCGTTCATATTAGGTTTACTTATCTAATATTTTGGGATTAAATATTGAGTCAAATTAAATTCAGAATTTTTTTAATAAACCGGTGAAAAGATTATAATTTGTTGGGTTGGGTTAGGTCGAATGTTACGTTAAAGGTTTATTTATAGGTACAAAATTGAAACCGTGTTACGGGGTTGATAAAAAGATATCAAAAGTTGTGATTAATCAGCCATATCTTGTATGTTTTTGTGGGCATGTGATGTTATGTAATTTATTATGATTGTCATTAGCAGATTATTATGTTACATTGTATGCTGACAAGAATGTCATACATAATTCTGTTTTTGATAATAATTATATAAGATAATAATTTCATTCTTTTATAATATCGTTATCTTGTTCATGCAATGTTTGTTGTGCAAATAAAATATTGTATGTATACATAATCAAAGAAATTTCCAACTTCATTCAGTACTTGGTAAAAGTACTGCTCTTTAATCGTGCAAATAAATAATTTGGCTACTGAAATGCATGAAAACAGTAAGAATAAATATTTTGCACTATTCAAACATTTGCAAAAAAAATTAATTACTGTTGAATTTCAGGATTAGTCTGGATTGTAACGATCATTGCAACAATCTTGCTGGATTCTTGTAATGGAGAAAAAAATTTCAAAATTCATAACGTCGGGAAAAGTGCTTCACCAATCGATTTCCGCTATAATGGAGGTGCCCATATTTTCTTTAATATTTGAATTATATTTAATTATAATTGTTATTTATAATTATAATTAAAACAATTACTAATTATAATTATAATAAATTAATAATTAATTAATTGTTTACTGTAGTGATCAAGCTTAGCGGACTGCTCGGAGTCTCTCTCCCAGATTCGGTGGGCGAAGGCGTCGTCGTGGACTGTGCCCCTACCGACCCCACGATCGAGTGCCGTGTCTACGGCGATTTTGCCAACGCCACGATAACCTCCGGCGCGGACAATTGTGCTCGCGTGGAGTGGTCGTCGACTTACGCGAGACGTTTGGAAGATTGTTATAATGTCGGGACTGGCGAGTATTTGTACGGAGGGGCGGAAACTTATTATCAATATTGGCCCATTAATGCGGACAGGAAGAATGAAAATGCCTACATTGTTGGCGACTTCCTTGGATCCTATGAATTTGGGAACTTGTTAGAAAACTGGTGGCTTTTTTCCCAAGGAGCTGCAATCCATGCGGACGAGGATAATCCTCTTTTTGTCAGTAAGTTAATTACAATCAAGTATTTTTTTAATATGAAAAACTGACTTGTTTAAATATCAATTTAGGTTGGGACACGAAACATGCAGGACAAATCTGTTTCGTGTCGGCGGATACGTATCCATACAATAAGCGAGACGTGGTAACACTGAAATACACGGTTTGCGTTGGTGATAACGTGAAAAGTGTGCATCAAGACAATTTCTACAAGTTTTATAAAAAACCTAGCGCACTTCCAGATCAAACAATGTTGCTTCGTCCGTTGTGGTAAATGCGGTACAATTTCGATCTAAGTATTGTTGGAAATTGGAATTATGTAATCTGATTTTTTAAGGTCGACTTGGGCTCAATACAAAACGAGTGTGAATCAATCAATCGTGCTGGATTATGCGAATCAAATAATGAGTCGAGGTTTTGAGCTGAGCAGTCACATAGAAATTGATGACCATTGGGAGCCCTGCTACGGCCAGGAAGAATTCGATTTCAACAAATTTCCAGACCCTGCTGGTTGGTTATCAATAGCAAATACACATACGCAGTGGCCGTGGGGACATGTGGGGACATTAGCATTGTAGGATATGGAGGGAGGGGTTTATATAACATGGGCAGATGATGGGGATATCGAATAATCCTGGGGACATTGTCCCTCTGTCCACACCCTTCCGCGGCCACTGCACACACGCATTCCAATAATTGTACCATTTTAATTACAGCCATGGTTAGCCAAATTAAAGCGATGGGATTACGAGTGACCTTGTGGGTTCACCCGTTCATAAACCTTGGTACGTTTAAAATCTCCCCCAAACTCCAAAAATTGAATCAATCGTGCATATGAAACCTGCGACTTTTTTAGGGTGCGACTTATTTACCACTGCCATAAATGAGGGGTACTTAGCCAAGGATCAGAAAGGCAAGGCTGGAATTGTCGGTTGGTGGCAAGGGTCAAACGCGGGTATAATTGATACCAACAACGCGGCTGCCGTGACGTGGTGGAGGGCTAGATTGGAGCGGTTACGAACGGAGTATGGTATCGACTCGTTTAAATTCGATGCGGGGGAAGTCACATGGTTATCACATTCACGAGGATTAGAAGGCAATCAAGAATTGGCACCAAATATGTATACGACAAAGTACATTGAAGCGATTGCACCCTTTGGTGGCCTGGTGGAAGCCAGAGTTGGGAGATTAACTCAGGTCAGTTTTCAAAACATGAAAATTTTCGAAATTTCGAAATGAAAAGTTTTCGAAATTTATGAAAATTATTTATTAACCATTCGTTTGCTGAACAGGAACACCCAATTTTTGTCCGCATGTTGGACAAGATGAGCACCTGGGGTTACGATGATGGTTTAAGGTCTATGATTCCTACAGCTTTGTTCTTCGGAATTGTAGGATATCACTTCGTTCTGCCCGATATGATTGGTGGCAATGCGTACGGGGACTGGCCATCGAAAGAACTTTACATCAGATGGTTAGAGGTTAACGTGTTCATGCCCTCCGTCCAGTTTAGCATTGTTCCCTGGGACCAATCTTTCGATGATGAAGTATGTATGAAAATATTTTATGATTTTTTAAATATTTTTAGGAATAACAGTTTCTAAATAATATTTAGACGATTGCAATCTGCCTGAAAATTCTCAGTATTCGTGAACAATACAAAGATGCAATTTTGGTGGCTGCATATCAAGCAGTTGTGGATGGCACGCCAATTAATCGACCCTTGTGGTGGGTTGATCCCACTGATCCGGAGACCTTCACCATTGGTCAAGGTACATTTAGTCCTTAAAACCCTACTTTTGATGGCAATTCTATGGAATATAATACTCCTGACTACATTGCAGAATATATGCTTGGAGACAACATCCTCGTAGCCCCAGTTGTGGAGGAAGGTGCCACAACCTTGGACATTTACCTTCCCATCGGAATGTGGAAATCGGGTGTAACTAACCTAACGCATGTTGGCCCTGGTTGGCTTCGAAATGTCGATGCTCCCTTGGATGTGGTCAATTTCTTTATCAAACAATGATAAACATGAGAAATGAAGAGGTTCAAGTTTTAAGTATTAAAAACATTACGTAAGTATTATTCCGAGTACGAATATGTATGAAGTTTTTGACCAACAAATTTTGAAATTGACTTTTGAATTGTTAGACTTAAATGCAAATGTATGCACCAAATATTCACGGCAGAAGGTTTTCATCTTGGGTTAAAAATTCTTAGGACATAATTCCATTAATATTTCATCACCAATGCTGCTGCTCCTCCTGCTTATCTGCATTTAAAAAGAGTCCCATCTGTCTTGCTGACATTCACAACAATAATCCCGCATTATCCACCCCAATTTCATTCTGCATTCCATGCATCTGCATTTTGCATCGTCTCCCTTCTATTACATGATGACTAGTGGAACTGGATGAGAGAAAGAGTGGAATTGAATACGACCACGCCGTACCACATCATCCCACCCACCTCGTATTTCAAGCTTAATGAAATTACTTGCTATGTACGTATGCGTAGTCGCAGTGACCGCGGAAGGGTGTGGACAGAGGGACAATGTCCCCACGGTTGTTCGATGTCCCCATCTTATATAAACCCATCCCCCCATCCTACAATGTTAATGCCCCAGATGTCCCCACGGCTTCCGCGGCCACTGGTTAGTGGTAACTTTCCTCGGGTTATAAATGAACGGGAAACTTGAGTGCATCCTGCGTATATTTCCCTCTCCCTCATTTCCACACACCACTTTCGGTAAGCAAGTTCATAATCTAATCATATCATTATTATTATTATTATGAAAAGCGTGTAGAGAAAGTGAATGTATTTTCACTTTCACGCACGTTCTCTCATATTTCCGACAATCTTGCATCGCTCGCCCACACAAAGCGGAAGAGGAGCTTGGATGGAAATTAAGGTGGAAGAAAGTGCATCATCCTCCTTCCTCTCTCTCTCAAAATGCAGAGAAAGTCTGCCTTGTCGAGATCAATTACCATATTTTACACCTTTCTCTCCCACCACCACTCGGAAGGATGGGAAAGATTTATTCTTGTAATTTTGCCCATTCAATTTTTTGCAGAGAAAGTTTCCCATTTGTTTGAGCTATGTATGTATTCGCGCAGATTTTGGTATCCATGTCACTTGTCAGGTCGGAATAATCGGGTGGATTGGATTATTCCAGTTTTGTGGTCCCCTCCTCAACATTTATTTATGTTTGAATATGGACACCTCAAAATCCAATCGGAATCCAAGGACTCGTTCATGAGGAAATATTTAGATGGAAATTTCGACATATTATTTAGTCCAGTCATCAAACCTAGCATTGAAAAGGAGGGGAAAACCCTGTAACGATTACACAACATCGACTCAGCACCAATGTAAACCAATTTCCTACTCGTCTAAAATTGTGGTGAGTATTCGGTGTCAACCCGAATTCGGTCCATAATTCAGAAACAAAAACTCAGGCTCAAGGTTTCCCTCAAGATAAAAGATTCCTCACTTTTTCCTAACCCGATTTGACAATAATTACCTTGAAAAAAAATTCACATTTCACATTCTGTGACTTTCTACTTCTTTTTTTGCATATCATACTTGACAGCCTTGCCTTGTACTCCTTTTTTTCTCCACTGCACAGCTTCTTCTCGTTAAAAAAGCCCGATAATTAGAAAAGTTTTGACGAAAATGAAAAGTCCAAATTTCATAAAGGAGAACGACTAACCCTGTCAACTGCATGCAGTAATATAATGACTCTTCTCGACTGGATCGACATTTTACATTTTATGTCATTTTAAAGTAGAAAACCCGTAAAAATAATATCCAACGGGGCCAGCAGCAGGGATAAAGTTATTACAAGAAATGGCCTCTTAATGGGAAATTTGGACTAAAAACTGATCTAATGGGGTCATTGCATACATATATATACGCACCATCCACCACCTACTTCTCTTATATTCAGATTCTCTCATGGATTTCCCATTTTGTATTTGAAAATATATTTTAGAAAATTTAAGGGGAAAAAGGAAGGGTTTAGTGGAGGCTATAAAATGTCAAATAAATAATCACAAAGAAGAAGGAAGAATGTTACTTCTCCGACGGTGAAAGTAAGTCAAGTCAGCAGTCAAAGCCGTGTACGTAGAGGAAAAGCGAGGTGTGACCCGAAAAGTCCCCAAGAACCAAGCCAAGCCAACCTCCATAAATAATCCATCCGTTAAATCCTCTCTTCTTTACGACGACGACGACCTCCTCCTCTTCTTCTTCTTCCGTCCCCATTACGCAATCTCATCTCAAAACACATCAAAATTACTCAAAACTACCACTATTATCCATTAACTTGTGCTTTCCTTGCCTCATTTCGACTTGGGGTTGGTTATAATACGTGCATACGTATGCAGGATGGGTGCATGGCATTATGGATGGAGGAAATTAACCCGGCTTGGCCTGCCTCGATTTCGAAATCCTGCTTTGTTACGTAATCAAAATTTCCATCCAGTCCAGCCTCAAATTCCACATGGATCTTGATTGTCTTGGCTAAACGTGAAATACAATCCCGAGAACCACATACATACACTTCTCCTCCTCAAATTACCCATTAAATGCGAGACCAACTTGTACCTTGAGCCGTAAAGAAGTTTGTTGTCGAAGCATAAAATTGCTCCAGGTTAGCCTACGTACTTCACAAAGCGCACAGTGGCCGCGGACAGAGGGACAATGTCCCCACGCTTATTTGATGTCCGCATCATCTCCCCATGTTATATAAACCCCTCCCTCCCCTATCCCACTATTTAACGTCCCCACATGTCCCCACAGCTTCCGCGGCCACTTACTAACTAACCAACTATTACGTAAGAAGAAGAGGACGAGTGAGCAATTGTTTTTCTTCCAGTGTAAAGTTTACTTTACGAATTTCCCCAGCCCAGCCCAGCACCACAAAAGTCATAACAAACAAGGATTGGATGGAAGTAAAGAAGCGAACGAAGGGCACTAATTGGCCGGGTTTTAAGTAGCATGGATGGAGAAAGCCCTGGAGGAAAAGGTGGATGGAAGTCAAAAGACGTGCCACAAACTTTGTCCAAGAGTTGCATTACACACATACTTCTCGCAAGAAATGCGTGGAGGAAGACAAGTGAACATTAGATTAGAAGAGGGCATTTCTCGGTATGGACAAACCAACCAGGAAACTGGAGAAAACCCGGCTCACCTTACCTATACGAACCAAAAGAGTTTACACCAATTCTAATAATAGTTAAGTTAGTCGGGGGAGAGTAAAGTGAGAGGTTTGTGTCGTTTTTTGTCCTATTTAACGGCTGCATCGACACGTAGCAAACTCATTTGTACGATTATTGCTACCACTTGCTGTACATAGGTTCACAAGAGTAAGAAAAAAATGATGACGTTAAGAGAAACTTTTTTTCTAGGGGAGACCCCACTTTTTAAAGAAATAGAGAGGTTGGAAGCCTGCCATATATTTTTAAAATGTGTATGGGAAAGGGTTAGAATTATGTATGGTTGAAAACATTGACCGCGGAAGCCGTGGGGACATGTGGGGACATTAACATTGTGGGACAGGGGAGGTAAGGACAGATGATGGGGATATCGAATACCCGTGGGGACATTGTCCCTCCGTCCCGCGGCCACTGTACCGTTGTGTAGGTGTAGGAACGGAATAATGTCGTTGGTTTGGTCGTCGCATGTCGTCACGATAAGTGTATGTATACTAAAGTGGTTATCGTGGTTAGTTCAGTAGTGCTGGGGTACGTACATTCGTACGTAGAACTGGTTGGTCAAGGGAGAAAGTAGTGGTCTGGTGGGGCTGAAGGGGAAAGAAAGTGATCGATAAATTGGTGTGAGTCACACTTGCAGCTCGTGCAGAAACTACAACTACTTTTCTCTGCTTTCCTTTCGAGTGGTTGTTCTTCTATGTGTGTGAGAGAGAACTGCTGGCTGGCTGTTCTTTTTATTACGAGGGCTCCATTCCCGACATTATCCTCATCCCGAGACATACACAATGCTCCTGTTTTGTCCTGGTGGAGTAGTCGGACAGTAGCAATCTACAACTACATACGTACAGGAACGACATGTCCTTCCGAGGAGAGAGAAAGCGGATTGGAAATTCCTTGAAATAACTGTTGTCTGTGGTGGTGTTTGTTGTGTCTCAACTCTTGTTTTGTTGACGACAAGTGGACGGTGTGGAATGGAGACATGTGATGATTTGAGCCTGCGAGATGATGACAATGGTGGAAATGTGACGAAGCCTTGTATGATTTTTTTGGTAGAATTGGTACCAAAAATTGGTCGTAGGACGAGTGAATATTTGTATGAACTTGTGGACGGTGTATGGAAACATGTAATGATTTGGGCCTGCGAGATGATAACAATGGTAGAAATGTGTCGTGTACTTGTATGATCTGTTAAGAATTGGCTACAGAATTGGTACTAAAAATTGGTCATAGGACGAGTCAATATTTATGTGAATTTGTGGACGGTGTATGTGACAATTTGGGCCTGCGAGATTATGACAATGGTGGAAATGTGTCCAATACTTGTATGATTTTCTAGAACAGGTCATATTTAGGACGAGTAAATATTTATATGAATTTGGCTAATTGCTCCACTTTTACTAAAATAGAATTATGTATTGGCGTCAGAATTTGCAAGTATTTATTACCTATTTATGTATTATTGGCACATTAAACTCTGGGCAAGACAAACCCAGTCCGATGCTGATGGATGATTGTACATATCTTAACATGGTCATGTCCGAAAATGCGACATTTTCCAATTAAAAGCTGAAATTAGATATTGAACCATTCCTTCTTGAACATGGGACATAATAAGTGTTTACTTGGTAAATCCACGGCATGAAAAATAAATTGGAGGGTATTTACGTTACAGGGAGGGAGGGAAGAAATTGCTTATTTTGCTCGTCCCTCAACTTACGTAACGGCAATTATGCGCATTGAATGAAATGTCGAATATTGTACCTCGATATGTATCAGTTTTGAGACATGACTTTCACCAAATATACAACTTGGCTGTCATTACTTGGTGAATAATATATTTCACTTAAGGAAATAAATTACTTAAGGTTATACGAAATGACGTGTATTGGTGTGTCATAGATTTTAATCTCACTCTGCCCCTATTCAACGTTTTTAAATGGAAATTTCTAAATTTTTCTAAATTTCTAAAATGACATTAATTCAAATTTTTCAGTTTTTAAGTAAACGCAACTTTTGATTAATTTAATTTTTCGTACTACAAAACCTTGAACCTGAAAAACACTAGTTTATTCAATTTTTAAGGAAGGGGTAGACTGAGATCAAAAATCTATGACTCATCATCAAACCGTCGTCCAATAACACCTTAATAATTAAAGCAATATTACGTATTATTATACAACATCCGACTCAAAATGGTGTTTTCACTTTACATTCGTGTCCGTTTCAAATAAAACGCAGACAGAGTAATGCACAATGCAATGCAATGTCAGGTGCTGTGGTACTTTATGCATACAGCCCTAGACCAAAATATAGTGTTATCTCAAACGTGGTGAGACACCCAGACAGACAGATATCGTAAGGGATAATTGTCCCACAATTGACGTTGCGTAACACATGCACGGACATGATAACGAGCCTCGTTAAAAGGACGCAACAACAATAAACTAGATTTTATATGAAAATATGAAAAGGCAAGCATATAGGAAACTAATTTTATCTTTACCTTGTTTTTATTATGTCTACTATCCAAAAATTCCTGCCGGCAAAATGTCCCAGATTAAATAAATTCACTAATCACTCTCAAAATACCTTATCGACGTCTCTGCAATAGTTAGCTTATCAGCGGCGAATAATATGTAAATAAATATCGTCTCAAAATCCGAATCTGTATGTTTTTCTCGTCTCACACGGTAAGAATCACTCTCAGAACATGCTCTGTATCTCCCCGTCACGAACTATTCCCTGTGTTTTGGAGAGGATATCGAACAATCAGAATCAGAATTTTGTCAAACAATTCTACATCCGTCCAATCCAATCCAATTCATGTCCGTGGAAATCGATAACCTTTTCCGGATCAAAACAGTGGTAGTAGAAAGTCAATAAGTCGTTTCGTCCGTCCGTAGTTCACCACAAATCCAAATCCAAACCAAACCACCAAACTAGTACGGATCAATGTTTTTTTCTTCTTATCTCTTCTGGGTCGTCCGTTACAATTTGTCCAAATCCGTAAAAAAAGATGACACACTGACACGTCTCACTCTTTTAATTAAATCTATCCATCCACCACTCGAAATAAAAAATAATATTATTGGATAAGTTAATTAGGAAATGGAGAAAATTCCGACTTTTCTCAAATCAAATGTCCACTTCCGGTTCAATAAATCCAACAAAATACATTAACTGTACAAACCGTTGGCAAAATTTCTGCCTAGTTTGCAGCACTCGAAATAAATGACGACAACGATTTGCTTATCTTGCTTGAGACAGATTTTGCGAGACTTATGTTGAGACGAGATGAGATCAGAGAGCTGCGAATGAACAAGAACCGTACCGTTCAGGATTCCAGGACAGACTGGCGTTCTCTCTGAGAAAAGGTGGTCGGTGAAGTCGACTTTTTCCCAACTTTCCCCCGGGTTTCAGTTCCAGTGGTGGTGGTGGTAGCAGCAGCTAGTGCATAATAATATCTTCGTATGTATGTACAGGAGTGCTGGATACGCATTCTGCTACCCGGACTACTGAAAACGAGTCGTGAAGAAGAAAGTCTCATGCGAAAAACAGACTGGATTTTGGTGATGAATACACAGAATGTGGGAATCCCAACGCAATTTGGGTTCCTTTTGATGATGCGGAGAAAGTATGAGCGGATGTGAAAGAGGAAAATGAGTTGAGGAATGATTCAGTAAGAATAATTTCGTCATGTCACATTCTCCAACTGGTGCGTTGGTTTAGATGATACAGAAAAATGTGTTTGCATCTATTTTTCTTCGAAAAAGAATGAAAAAGAGGATGAAAATGTGCATAATTTGAATCCAGGTGGAATATTTTGGATGTTGTTTTTTAGAAAATGAAATAAAATCAAGATTGTTGTGAAACAAACTGGAAGTGTTAAAAACATGGATTGTTAATTTTATTTATGTTTACGATAGAATTTTAATGATTGAGCAAGACTGGAAACTGGTCATAAATTCATGCTCCAGTTGTTATTATTAAGGTGATAATAAAATTGAGGAATTTGGTGTTAATTTTCTTTCCATAAAATTCTAGATGTTAAATAAATATGATTTATTAAACTTATGACAAGTCAATTAATTAACTGTAAGTCCGGAAATCCTGGAGAGGATTCCTGTATACAAATTTTCACATTTTTCTACAACTCAATCTAACTTGTATTTTATTTTTCAAGCCAAGTCAACCAATTTTACTGCACTTTTAACCAAACAATAGAACCAAACTTGAATTGAATTGGAAAGTTTTGTTTTTAAGAATGAACGTGCCTCATTGAAGGTAAATACCGACGAAACAAAGCGATTTTATAAACTATTTGTTTACACCTTGACATCAACTTACCCGATTATTTTAGCCAGGCCAGATAGTTAGTAGTTGTAAATTGCAGTAGTATTGCGTAAGGTATACAATATGCAATTATTAGTCATTTCTTAGGCGGGGAAATTGAGACGAGTTGTGTTCATTTCGTTAATTGTCCAGGTTCTCACGCTACTGAAGAATTCTCAATTGAGACCGTGCCAAGAAAGAGAGGTGTCGTGGACGTGGTGTCGAATTTCAGAGGCGACTTGTGTTAGTTGTGTTAAATTTCTGCTTCTTCTAATGTGCACATGTGGGATATGGAATGAATTGGAAATTTGATTTACTAATAAAACCCGATTGTTTTATTTATCATTTTGGTTTGGCTGGGCCGACCATTGTACTTGAGAATGTCTTCAGACAGTCATTTCACATTGTTCGTCCTGCTGGTGGTGGTGGTCGTCGTGGTGGAGAGGGCAGCTTGCGTTTCTGGTGAGTAAATTTTGGAATTTGGAATTGAAATTGTGGAAATATTTCAATTTTTGTGTATTAATCAAGGTTACGTGATCCCAAATCAGGGAGGATTTGGGTACGCACAACAGTACCAGCAGTTCCTACCACAAGGTCAAGGGTCACCTTGGAATAATAACGGGTTCCCTCCACCAGCAGTTAACCAACAAGGACCCCCATTATTTCTTCAGCAATCTCCTCCCCCACAAATTCCTTACTACCCACCACCACCTTTACCCAGTAACAGTTTGGCCCCCTTATCTCCCCCTTCAGACGAACCGTTATCATTCAGCCACCCAATTCTCTACATTAACCGGAACATTCCCGTCTTTGAGAGTGTCGAAGTCACAAATAGAGTAGACCCTGATTTTAAATCGGAAAATTATGGCTCAAAATTGCCACTACCTCCGCAAAACACGGCGCCAAGATCTGTAGCCCCTCAGCAGCAAGGATCTTATTTCCAGTACCACCAACCACCACTGCCTTGGTCGAATAACAATAATTACTATAATAACAACCCACCTCCACCCCCACCACAAATGCAGGCAGCAGCCACGCCCTCATTTCAAACTTCGTCATACAGTTATTCTACTTCAAGCTCGAATGTCATGCTGAATCCGGCAAAGTTTCAGTATTGGGGAGGTGGACCACCACAACAACCAAGCGGTTCTGCAGGGCCCTCTGTAGTACCCATGATGATGACGCAATACAATACCGGAGGTGGGGTCATGTTCGCCAATCCGCGTTTCACTCCGGGTGGAGGTGGACCATCTTCCTCATTATCGTCCCCTTCGTCACCATCCTTCATCCCAATTTCCAACGTGGGAGGATCGCTGCCCTCATTCCGCAGCATTAGAAAAGCTCCTCCTGGCAGTTTCTTCATTTCGGTGAGAAGGCCGGATGGGTCCATGACGTATGCGGCGGAACCGGGGCCTCGCCTTGGTCCCGAGCCTATGTGGAGTACAGACCCAAAATATACGGTGGGGGCGATTGTTCAACCACCGCCAGTGTCGCCGCCATCACTAAAAACAGCCTCAGTTTCTAAAAATGCTCGAAATAATTCGCAAAATGATTTAGTGAAACGTTGGGAGGAGATTCCAGTTCCTGGTTTTTCCGGGTTTAATAAACCTGGACGAACTGGTCGAGGTCAGAAAAAGTACAATAATACGGATAATTATTACCCGTTTCCTCCACCCCCAATGACGACCTATTACTACCCTTCGCCATCACCTTCACAAAGATATATTGACAATAATGATCTCGCAATTTTGGACCAACTCGCTACCACCACCGCCGCCGCTCATAAGAGACAACAGAACAATGCCGCCCTTCCTTCGTGGGTGATACCACCACCCACGAATTTTATGCCTTTGTCCCCTCTCGTGACCAATTCGATCATTATTCCGGACCCGAGACCATCACCACTTGTAAGACAATCTAATTACTCTTCTTCTCCCATGCAAATAAACCCTCCTTCTTCCGCTTCGATGGAACAACTTTTTTCCCAAGGTCGGGACAACACCAAGTCGAAACAAAGAATGTCCCGAAGAGGTGGTGGAGATGAGAACGACTCGACAAACAATACCCGAACGGCACGATGGGTGCAACTCCCCCAATCGCCCTCCACACTGGGATCATTCCAACCCACTCCACTCCAGAATCCGGCGAAGCAGCAGCAGCAGCAGCTCCCAGGCTGGTTTGGACCTCCAACTTATCCGTTTAATGACCAAAACGGACAATTTCAACCTAGGTCTCAGCAGCAGTTCGTCGCCCCACAAACCCCACAAACAGCAGCAGGTTTCGACCCCCAAGGGGGCCCACAAGTCCAAGGATACTCTCACTCGTGGAGTAGCGGATCATCATTCGGTGGACCGCAACAACAACAACAATCTAAAACAACCCAATTTCGAAACCCCTTCGCAAGTCGAGGACGAGCAGAAAGTGGTTTCACTAATTCGCCAGTTACAAACTCTCCTCGGCCCGAAGAGCAAGGCGTTGCTGGGTACGGACCAGTTTCACGGGTTGATCAGAGGTCTGGTGCGTGGCCTGCCGACAATGGGCCACGGCAACCTGGTGAACAGTCTTGGCAGCAGCAGCCGCAGCAAAAGCAGTACCAAACATGGAAAGCAGTGAGTTTATTTGTAGTTTTTAAATGAACAATGATTAATTGACATGTCAAATAATTAATTGTTATTTTTTTACGTGGCGCAGGGAGTTGCAAACCCGTACCAACAAACAGAACCAATTGATTATCCCAAAGAGTCAAAAACTCCCTTTTTGTTTGGAAGTGGGGGAGAAGTAATTTATAATAAATATAAAATTTAACTTAAACTTTGGAAATATTTAATTCGGAAATATTTTACTTCAGGTGCAGATTTATCCGAAGTCCAGCAGCACTCCAAAGTACGACGCAAGACTGTTTGGAGTTAATGACACGAAGGAAGATCACAAATTTGCAAGCGATTCGACAATACTGCAGCGACATTTACAACAAGCTAAACAAGTACCAATTTTAATACAGATCATGGAAAAGTGACATTTTCTTTGTGTAAAAGCTCAACATTTACAATTTCAGGTTTTACGAGAACAAAAATCAAGAGAGGATGCAATCCGAAAGTCAAAATCAACCACTTCAATACCAAAATCAGGGGCAGGAAGTCGTGGGCGTCACCACCACCACCACCACGAACACAAACAACAACAACAATCCACAAATTCGTCCCTATTACCCGGAAGTGAATCAGTACCGCCAAATTTTGCCGCAGCAGCAGCCGTATTTCAACCAAAATTACCTTCCGCCACAGCCCCAAGAACTCATTGGGACGTCGGGAATGACGCCGTTTCGTCCGCCACAGCAGCAAGAAATTCAGGTCCAGCTCCAACCTATGCAGCTACTGGGTACCAACAGTTATCACCCCAACAACAACAATTTGGGGGACAGTACGTTCCAACCTATGCTGACTTCCCCCCAAACTTTCCCGAACATGGTCGCCTCGGCCGACACGCTGAAAGCATAGCGGACTTCACCTCAGCGGAAGATTTGCTAGCGATGGATTTAGAACCGTTGGGGTTAGAAGATGATTTAATGATTAAGTAACATTAACAAACTTCGAATTTGAAGTACTTGTAACGAAGTTATACATTTTTATTGAATGAAAAGTGTAATAATCTAAATGGACATTTTAATATAATAATTGATCACCAGTACATACGCAGCACCGTATTGTGGAAATGTTATGTAAAGAAAAAAGCTAACTATTTTATAATTACTAGTAAATCGGGTAAAAAAATGTTTATCAGTCTTAAAATTGTGATTATTAAGTCCATTCAGACGAAAATGCAAGCGCATAAACCATTACATGCTTATCTATATGATATTACATGAGAAGCTACTCGTTGGACCAGCAGGTACAAATTTTTTCTCCTCATCCTCATCTGCGAATCCGTACTCCTCATCGCCCTCCATGACTTCGTTGTAATCGTTGTTGTCATTTTCCACCTCCATTTTTATGTCTGGATGTTCGATATGTTCAAATTGTATTTCACAGCTCGACCTTGGAGTGTTTTCCTTTTCGGACTCAACATCAGAAAAACTAGAACGAACGTCGTCAGGGTCAGAATCTTCGTTTTGAAGAAGTCTTGGTAAGTTTTGAAGTGGGGTGCTGGCAAATTTAGGATTAGACAACAACACACCAAACGGAAGATTATCAAGAGATTCATTTTGTTCACTCATTATTTCGAATAAATCTTCCTTCGTTGGACCTTGTCTTGGTTCATCAGTACAGACCCCTCGATTTACACGTTTCGCTGGTGGTGGTGGGCAACTTTCTTGAGGTGGTAATAGGGGATGTTCTGTAGCGGGTGGTGGTGGATGATTAGAATCCATTATCATTAGCTCATTTTCATTTGAAATCGGAACCACAGGGTGTTGGGGATCACAGGACTGAGATGTGAGCGAGCTCTCGTCAAGGGACGTTCTTCCTGACAAGTGTATCTCATCACATGCAAATTTTTCTTCGATAATAAAATCACGTAAAACTACTTCCTTCTTCACGGTAGGCTCAGAGTAGAATATTGCAATTTCGGCGATAATGACTTTTTCTAATGCTTCCTTATATCGAGATCGCATTTCTGGCATAGAGTAGGTCATCCAGATTGTTTGGTAGCAGTCGCCGGTTGCTTCATCTCGGATAATGATGCGAAAATGGTCAAAGGGTTTCATGAAGGGTTGTTCTGTAGCAAAAAAAACAAACATTAGTTACGAAATTTCTCGATAAATGTTTTTCATATCTTCAGAAAAATACTACGTACCCCCAAGCTTTGGTACTTCAGAACTTGTCATCGGAGGATAAGCAGCCGGCATGAGGAGGGCTTCGCACATTTCTTGCGCTCCTTTTGTCACATCACTGATAGGCTCACGATGAGTATAAGTTTTCTCGTTTGGGACTGCAAAAGAATATATATGCATGTAAGCAACTGTGTGTTCTTAGCAATTAGCTAAATATACGTTAAACACTGACTTTGGATTTCCAACTTTCGAGGAAACGTGAACCAATGTTTTGCAGCGCATTTCCCTTTACAAAGGCAAATTTGGTGATGACTAAAATTTTGACCGGCTTTTCTCATTTCTTCGACATCCTTCACTTTGCCATAAACAATCTGATAACAAAGTTTAAGTATTATAAATAAACATGTTGACCAAGTAATTATAATAAAATAGTACTATACTAAATTAGCGACCTACCGCATTTAAACTTGGCCTGAGTCTGCTTCCCGGCAGTGGATTCATGTGATATTTACAATTCTTTTCGAGCACTTCTTGCACCATGACAATCTTCCCCCTTACTGTGACTGTAAGTCGTTCCCTCCTCTGAAACACGTATCCTCGTGGGACGAAACCTTTCGTAAATGAAGGGTGGTTCTTGTCAATCCGTTCTGTCCACTCTTTGTACCGGGCGTAAAAACTCGCACCGCCTAAAATTTTTGGGTTGTAAATTCCACCAGCTCCCCAGCTAACGTTGTCCCGCTTCAGAATGGCTGCATAACTGGGGGCAGACAGCACTTCCGCGTTGGCGATCATAGCGTAGCGTTCAGGCATTATATTTAAATATACATCAATAGAAGATCCAAAATGAATCTGCCAAAAAACGAGTCAATAATATTTAATGGATTAAAAGGGTATTAATTAATCATAATTAAATTTTACCTGCGAACAAACGCTAGGAGCAATGTAAAACTTGGAATTTATTTCCATTTCAAGTTTACAATTCGTAATAATCATGGGAAGACCGGGTACGATAGACCTTTGCAAATCCATGTCTTCTTTGGTGATGATTAATTTCAACCTGGAAAATTAATCACGCAAAAATTAGTTGATTAGGAAGTTATTCAGATTTTCTCTTTTCACTTACGACAACTCTCTAGACTCTTTATCGATCAAAGTAATCCAACGATAAGCCCGAAAAATCCCTTTCTCTCCAACTACAGCGTTCGATTGATTGTCTGCATCCTTAACATCCTCAACAAGGTATATCATGGCGTCAAAAATTCTGCACCGTTCCATCCGCCCTACGTAGTTGACCACGCCGATAACATCTAAATATGTCACGGGGGGAGGTTCCTTGCAAGCCTCAAATTCTTTAGGAGTCCACAATTTTGCCTCGGTTGGGGGAAGAAGTCTATCCGGAATCTTTGGTGGTTTCCATTTGGGCTGACTTTGACGTGGGATATGTTGTAAATTCCGGACGGAATATTTTTCGACTTTGATTTCAATCCCAACCAAAAAGTCGTGATACGGATAACAAAAATTTTCCTTCGAATTTTTGCATTTTTTGAAAGTGGCTTTTCTAATGATTAAAAAATCCCCTACTTCAACTTTGCTGTGGACAATTTGTACCTAAAAGAAATTATCATATTTAATCAAAGTTATTTTGAAAGAAAATTCTATTTGCATGTACAATTACTAACTACTAACCGATTCATTTGGTAGCGTTATAATACAAACGCCACAACTAGAGTCGGTGACGACAAGATTCCCAATCACAAAAGCTTGTCGTGGAGCGTCATCGATATTTTGGTTGTTACTATCTCTTGGTTTCATTAGTATTAAATCTGGTTTCTTTTCTGGTTTTATGAAAAAAAGTATCGTTAAAATTCTTAAAAGCAAAACTGTTCATATAAAATGATATGTATGCAAAACTTACTTGCAATGATTTGGACAAAAACGGGAATATGGATGGGGGCGTACTGGTTTGAAATAGTACATTCGCCCATTCTCTGCAATGATTCCGCCAACGGCAACAATTCTTGTAGATCGTTAGGCAAGTTTTCATGATCGCCGTCTGGATAAATTGCAGTTTGCATGCCTGTGAAAAATAAACGTATGTCTTTAAAGATTATCGATTAATTATGTTGGAAAATACTAACGAACTTACACAAGTTTTCCTTCAAAGTTGGAAAACTTATCGGATTGTTGTTCGTCCATCCCCACATTTCAACAAAAGGAACTTCATTACGGCCATTTAGCTGTAAATAAATTGAAAATATTATAAAATTAATATGCACACGGTTATCTATAAAACCTCTAATTATCATCTCTAGTTGATTCTTCACCTTAAAAAACGTGCTAGGCTCATCCTCCGACGTGGCGCAAGCTTGACCTCGACCAGTAAATTGTATCGTCGACTTGGACGTTGTCGCAGAAGCTGCTGACGATGAGACAGGAACAAGTTGGCTGTCCATTGTCCTGATTTCAGTGATTTTTCATCAAAAAATTAATCGAACTGGTAAACACTTTATTAAATATCCTGTTGTCTGTATTTCTAATTAATATTAACGAACAATGAACAAATTATCGACTAAGCTTCAGAGTTTCTGAATTATCCTACAGGTCAGCCGGGTCAGAAATTCGGAACGACTTTTTTTCTTCGCGAGTTTATGTAAATACATGTGCACTCTTTTCTCTCCCCGGCCGCTCAGCATTCAATTTCAGCCCTGCTGGAATCTCACTTTCTCCAAAGGGAAGAATTTTATCTCAATTTGCTGTTCACGACCTCAGTCAGGATCAGTTTATATTGCATTCATTTTGACAATTTTTTCTTAGAAAATTTAACAATTCCTAGATTTCTGTAAAAATTATTATAAAATTTTTATCTATTAAACACAAGTACATTCATAAGATGTAAAATAAAATACACTTTATTAGTTGGGGAGTAAAAAAAACTCTCTCCGAGGTTGCGAAAACCTCTACAATTGGGAAAGGCATCCAATTATATCTATTTGTAAAATTTTCCACAGTTTTATCACATCATTTTATTTTTATGTAGATTACTAAAGGTATAGTCGATTTGTATATGGGCATCATTCTTGGAATGATTTATGACACAAGTTTCAGTCTCATGGAAATGTATGTAGGTGGACAAGAGAAGATGAAATCAACCAATCGTCATTTTAAATTCGCAATACCTAATTGTATACATGTATAGTAATTATGGCATTATCATCCCACTTTATCATTACTACGACCCTCCTCATCACAATGATAACAGGAAAAGAGCAGAAGAATCCGTGCACCCGAAACCAATGTCTTAATGGAGGTCACTGCACACCGATTGATAACTTCTCCTCTGCGTGCATCTGCCCTTCCACTTTTCACGGAGATTTGTGCCAGTTTCGAAATTTTTGTGCCTATTCCCCGTGCAAAAATAGAGGCAGTTGTGAGCCCTTTGAAGATTCTGGGGTCTGCAGTTGCCTGTTTGGATTTGAGGGGACGTACTGCGAGAGGAAGGCGGAGGACGTGCTGTTATCAGAAAAGAATTACGACGGTGGTCGTGACAATGCTGATGAAGATGTAAAGTGTGTATTTCTGGGCATTCTGGGCACAAAGTTTTCGGAACTTTTTACAGGAATGAGAGTGGATTTTGTATTTTTAGGAGCGCTGGCCTCTTCACATTTATGAAAACGGTGAAAAAATCGAGCTGGAGGGATAAGGTGGCTTTTGATCCGTGCTATGTTCCTGAAGGGGGTGGCCTTATTCGGTGTCTTAACGGGGGCAAGTGTATCCCACTGGTTAGAAGGGTAGGTATCGTTCCAGGAGAAGGAAACCAATATGAGTGCGAGTGTACCGGAAAGTTTACGGGTAATACATAACTATACTTGAAGTGAGTTAGTTATGTGCTGTGCGAATGGAGCTAAACTCACGAGAAACCCTAGTCTCAGCACAAGGTACTTCAGGAGGCCGTAGGTTTAAGCTCCACCCGCACAGTACATAACTCGTTCACTTTATGTATAAACTAAATGATTAACGATATAATATAATAATTAGAACTGATTTAAATTGAGGTCCCTATTGTGAATTTGAGAATGCCTGCTTCAGCTCTCCTTGCAAAAACGGGGGCAGTTGTCAAAGTTTTGAGGACTCAGGGGTGTGTCGCTGTCCAGTGGGATTTGGGGGCAGTTTCTGTGAGGAAATCGAGACGGGACATAAACCGTCAAGAATGTTAGTACACCTAAATTTTTATTATTAAGAACTTACATAATAAATAGAAAAATACATATGCGATTATAGAAAGAAATTGACCACGGAACCTGTCCTCAAGCCGCCCTCGAAGGATGACATTTGTTATCGTTACACCAAAACTAGGTCGCATCCCTGTTCTCATCATGGTGAATGCATCTCCCTCAACGCGACACATTTCGAGTGCCTTTGCACCGAAAAATACTCTGGGGATAGCTGTCAATATCGGAACCCATGTTACACGTTTGAATGTCTGAATGGTGGAACGTGTGAAGTGAAGTACGACGCTTCCGGAATTTGTAACTGTGCCCCTGGATTTATGGGGACGTACTGCGAGGAGAAGCTGTTCAAGGATGAACCAGAAGAAATTGATGTCGTGACTGAAAAATCGTCAGCGACACGATTATGTCTCAACGGTGGGACCTTTGCTCACCTCAAGGGTTCCCCGTCATCATCTTCTTCAAGCTATGAATGCATCTGCCCCTCAAATTTCACGGGAAGGTGGTGCGAGTTTCTTAACGCGTGTGGAAGTTCGCCATGTTTAAATGGTGGAAGTTGTGAACCGATGGAAGATTCTGGAATTTGCACGTGTCCAATAGGTTATATGTATAAATATGATAGCATGTCACTGAGGATGAGGTCATCACTCATCAGTAAGTCATATGCTGTATGTGTGTTTAGGTTTCAAGGGAACTTTCTGTGGAGAAATTGACGACACAAGAAAAACTCGGGTGGAACGACTCGGTCGAACTTTCCCCTTAGTTCGGAAGCAGATTAAGGAAGGAATTCGGATCTCGGACGATAAAGAGGTGTGGTTTCAAGGAGGGAAGGAAATCAGGGTACGTCTAGTTGCTACAATTTATGCATTATCCACATTAACATCAACTAAAATACTATCCCAGAACCTTAAAAAAATCGACCACTGTGACAACTCTGAAACCAACAGCGAGAAGCCCGTCTGCCTCAATGGGGGTCGTTGCGTAATATTAGACGAAGAGATGTACGGGTGTGATTGTCCAATCGCTTTTTCCGGATCGGTTTGCCAGTTCGAGGACGTGTGTGCAAGTGCACCTTGCATAAATGGGGGCACTTGTGAGTCACTCGGGTCTTCAGGCGTCTGCAGCTGTCCGCCTGAGTGGACGGGACAGTTTTGCGAGGATGAGCTGCTACCAGAAGTTAAGCAGAAAATATCTGGATCAAAATCATCAAAATTATTAGAACAAGGTGTTCAAGGATCTGGATATGCGTTGCTTGTCGAAGGTCAGGATGAGAACAATTTGGAGCCACCCTACTCCATGCTTGGTCACCTCTACAAAAGTAAACTACCCAAGAATCCAGCCTCCTCAGAATTTCTCTCCTTAAAACCCAAAGAATATTACCAAGACCATGAACTCGAAGAGAGACGCCAAGTCATAAGAATCCCAGGATTTGAAGATATTAACTCCTCCATGATAAGAATCGCGTCGGATGGAACGGTCTACGTGAGGCAGCCGAGGAGGAAAAAGGACTCAAAAACTAAAGTTGATCAATCAAAATCATCCATCCTAATTGACCTCAAAGACCAATCTACTAACAAAAATAATCACAGCCTCGACCACATCGTTGACGCCAGCATAGTAAAAGTAATGCCAAACGGGGAGCTCTTCATAAAAATGAAAATTCCCAAAAAGTCTCACGGAGAAAACTTGTTACACAACATGTAGTCATCACAAAAAAAGTAGATACATAATCAACAATAACAACTTAAATTGTAAACACTTTTTCATAACTTGTTGACACTATACATAAAGTGAACGAGTTATGTACTGTGCGGGTGGAGCTTAAACCTACGGCCTCCTGAAGTACCTTGTGCTGAGACTAGGGTTTCTCGTGAGTTTAGCTCCATTCGCACAGCACATAACTAACTCACTTCAAGTATAGTCTACAAGTCGTAGTTTTTTCCACTACGTATTTTGTTTATGTATCAAATTGTATAATGGTGACACAACAATTGCGATTCTCATAAATTTCCAATTAGCAATAATGTTCCCTTTTTGTATCAAATTCCTTCATCAAGGTCTTCTTACCCACAGCACGAATCCAATTATGCTTACCTTACATATCGTTAGCCCATTATATCGTCAGATCGATATTAACTGTGAGCAGTGGCCGCGGAAGGGTGTGGACAGAGGGACAATGTCCCCAGGGTTATTCGATGTCCTCATCATCTCCCCATCTTATATAAATCCCTCCCTCCCCCATCCTACAATGTTAATGTCCCCACATGTCCCCACGGCTTCCGCGGCCACTGACTATGAGTGCTGTATTATGTTCCCTCAGCGTAAGGGGAAAGTTGCTGCCTAAAGTACCGTGTTTTGTTGTGTTGATTTCACCCAGGGTTTGCCGAGGTGGAAAATAATACCAATACAAAATGCAGCACAGCGTAGAAAACAGTTAGTTTATGTATTATTTCGTCTTGGTATTTGTCCTGTTATACATATTTCTCGGTTCGGTTCCCCCGGACGGGATAGCTTTCTCTTTAGCGATAAACCTGGCCTGTGAGTAGTGGTAGCGTTGGCTGGCACAACAAAAGTCCTCCCGTCTAGGTTTTGGTTACAAATCAAACTTCCGACCGAATCAATTTTCCATTCTGCTTCGTATTGAAGTTGAAACAGTGAGGGATTATTATGCCAACTTTCTCTTCTGCTTGGTGGTTGAGTCACTCGACAAACTTTTACCTGGCTTTTTTGGTCGTTAGTTTCCTCCTGGAAGTTGACGAAGGTTGAGGTGGCTTCGATCTAATAAAAATTGAATTAAAAAACGGAACCAGTGATAGATTTTTCATATGTATTGATCGTAAATGTGTTGGGAATGGGTTTTAATTAGCATAAGTGAATTCATAATTTACTAAAGGTTTTAATCATCAATTAAGAAAATGTGACTCTTTTTCTCCACCCGGTGAAAGTTTTAAAGACAATTTTACGTACGAGTTTGTTTGCTATTAAGATGGAAAAATACGAACCCATCGGCGTTGTGGGGGAAGGCAGCTATGGAGTTGTGTTAAAATGCAGACATCGGGAAAGTGGAAAGTCTGTAGCAATTAAGAAATTTATAGATTCGGAAGACGATCAAAATGTGAGGAAGATTGCTTTGAGGGAAATCCGAGTTTTGCGGGTATGAAAACTAAGTAGTTAATATTTGTAAAAAAAAATTGTAAATTGTTGGGTGAAAATGTCGATAAGATATTTTATTTATTTGTTTGTCAGCTATGTAAAACTTACTCACAGATAAAATTTTAAGTTATGGAGGATTTTTTTTATTACATTATTATTTGAAAATTATAAAAAAAATTCCGGAAGTTTAGTTTAGTCGTTTTCATGAATAATTGATACTTTATGATTCGCCGAGGGTGGGAGAAAGGCACCTTTTACCTGACAAATTGACACTTCGGCGACATATTTTTTCCCAGACTGCTTTTTCCTCAAAGAAAGGAAAGGTGTCGTCGTTTGTAGTTGATTTCTGTGCACATTTTATTTCCGTATTCCATTGTAGAATCTATATTGGTTTGGTGTCAACTCGATCCATCATTAATTTTCTTGTCATAATGTTTACTAAGGTTTGTGTACTAGCGAAAGTCTTGCTTTTCTCCACTAAATTTTCTAAATACCTTCTCAAAATTTGTTAAAACTTGGAATTGATTTAATAAAAATTTGGTCATCTATAAGTCATAAAAATTTCTTTCGATTTCATTCATATATACATTTTTAAAGGTTATTAACAAAATAAGACTTTCATTAGTTCACAAACCTTATACAAATAAGAAACAATATCGATCCAATATTTGGAGTAAATTTTCCGGAAATAACTACACAAAAAAACTTTTGTTAAGGATTTCCTACTGTAATTCGACTGTCTGTTTTTATTGTTAGACGTACAAGTTTTTTAACGATGTGCATAATTATCTAATTTTATTTTCTTTACAATTTTATTGATTTCAAATTAACCGTACACAAATATGATGATAACCGTGTATAAGTACTTAAATATGTTGTTATTATGAAAATACTACGCCTCAATTTTGTAAGCTATTCATACATTTTTCATTCCCGAGCAGAAATTACGCCACGAAAACCTGGTCAACCTGCTTGAAGTCTTCCGACGGAGGAAACACCTCTACCTCGTTTTTGAATTTATTGACCATACACTCCTTGACGAATTGGAAAGTAAAAGTAAAGGGCTCGAGGGCGAAGTTGCGAGGAAATATGTCTACCAAATTCTGCGAGGGTTGGGATTTTGTCATGATAATAACGTAAGCACTCCGTTATTCAAATTTAATTTTGACAAAGTAATTACCCGGTTTGGGACGTGGACGTGGACGGCAAATGCGGACGGATGACATAATAAATTTTCAACGACCTTTTTATTGCGCAACGACGGCACGCGATATTTAAATTAAACTTGTAGATGTAGATTACCTTTGTCCCAGCGAGTCAGATTATTTTGTTTGACCTGTGACCCTGATCTAATTTAATAATTTCATTTCGGAACAAATTTTAAGAGAAAGTAAATATGAACGGAAATATGCGAATAAAATTCGATTAGCCTAATTAAATAAATCGAGTTGCTTTGCTTTGCCCTGACTAAAAAAAATTGAGTGAAAGTAGAAACAGCATGTTTCGTTATTCTTCTGCTTATGTGCTGAAAAGGGCAAGAAAGAAATGAATTGCTAAACCAAACAAGCTGAATAAGCAAAGTGAAGGTGATAAATGTCGGGTCAAGGAACTTGAAGTCGGCCAAATTGGGTTTTCGTCACTTGTTCTTATTTTTTGAGGCATATTTAGTCAAACTGGAGTTCATTGTGTCAATGGTAGGAACATCACAATTTATTTAGTGGCTAAAAATTCTGGCATGGGCGTGAGTTACCTACATAGAACTTTTATTCTTAAATTCCGAAAAATCCAATTTGGCTTTCAACTATGCCAAAATAATAAATTCAAATGTACATAGCTATTTTTAGACCCGTCCTTGTCACGTCGTGCCCTGCAGCTTATATCATATTAGGTCATGTCATATGTCAGTAATCATCCTACTTCGGAATGGGGCCCATCCTCCCTTAAACCTTGATTACTACATAAATACTACTAAACTATTCTGCCTGTCATAACATAAAACTGTCGCTTCGACCATATTTAATTGCCCGCAATTGTCCATCCAAAATGCCATCAATAATTGGACACTACTTATTCCGCGACCCATCGATCCCTCTCTCGTATTAAATGACAGTATTGAATTCGAGGCATATTTTTCATTTTCTGCCTCTTTTTAGATAATCCATCGCGACGTGAAGCCTGAAAACGTGCTCGTGTCGAAGAATGGAATTGTGAAATTATGCGATTTCGGATTCGCCAGAAACTTATGCGGTCCGGGGGAGCAGCTCACCGACTACGTGGCGACGAGGTGGTATCGAGCCCCCGAACTGTTGGTGGGAGACGCCTCGTACGGAAAGTAAGTGACTGATTTTTATATTATGGAAAACACGACCGAAGGAATGAGTAAAGTATGCAAAGAAATAACTTTGCGGTGTTTGGTTTCAGTATTGATCGTAACTTTTGATTGTGTATATACGATACGATTTCTTGTAAATAAATGCACCCCGCAGTTGAGCCTTCAAGTTCTAAAATAGATGGATGAATGAGATAAAACTGATTGATGTTCTATAAATAGGAATCGGATATACTTAATTCGATATGAGCAGGAAATTCGATTAATTCCATTATTCACATATATGTATAATTATAAACATGGTTAGAGTGCGGCTCTCGGTGGTATTTTTATTGGTGACATTTATTTTGATCGTGGAAATTAATACGGTTTTCTTTTTATTTCGCAGAGAGGTGGACATCTGGGCAGTGGGTTGTCTTTTCGCAGGTAAAAACATAATGAAATGGCACATATTTATTAAGTAGCATACAAAAAAAATCACGCAGAGTTGGATGGATGGATGGATGAAAAAGTATCAATGCACGTGTTTTAATAAATGTCAAATGACGTCCGAATAGAATGCATGTTTGTCCTTCAGAACTTTATTTCACGAATGACCTTCATACCGTCGGAGGGACGCGGAGAACAGTGTGATATCGATCAATTAGATAAATCAAGGTGGTTGGTTTGGTGGGAGAAAAAGATAAAAATATGGTTGCGTCCTTCTTCTCGCACCAACACCACAAAAGAAATGACGAGTCGTTTATTGTGAATTAATTGTCCAATTTCTGCAATTTCTTATCTTTTCTCTCTTGTGGGAATGATGACATGTTGCACAATACAAATCAGGACGTAGTGCAGTAAAATGACATTCATTAATTTGTTTACGATATTTTTTTCTCTAGAAATGATGACAGGAGAGCCATTATATCCGGGTGACTCGGATATCGACCAGTTGTTTCTTATTGCACAGTGTCTCGGTAAGTTGCGAGTTGTTGTGTCGTAATGGGGAATAATTTACTAGGTAGAAATCAGATATCGTTAATAACATGCATATTGCTTTACATACTGCATTGGAGAATAATTGTTTATTGATGATTTAGTACTAGAGTTGGTGACATCGAGTTACGTGCATGTAGGGATTTATGAGAGATTGGCATTTTGATAGGGAGAGGATTAGGTAGAGAATCAATAAAATAATGGTGCAATATAAGGCTTGATCGGAAATTCGACCCTTTTTTCGGGAAATAATTGTATAATCTCACTTTTCCCATGATATCATTTTGCATGGTATTCCATTAATCCGTGCTCTACATTCATTCTGCTAAAGGTCAAAGGTGAAGGAAATTGACGTCAAGTTATGACTTCTCTTTGTAAAAACGTCCGGAAGGAAGGAAAGAAATGCAAGAATGGGATAAAATCTATCTCATCCTACGCAATTTCTTGCATTTCTTGCATGGGACAGAAAGTGAATGAATGTTAGGAAATCATCACATTATACGTCACGATCCACGTCAGTATTCTCACAACTTGATTAATTTCATATTGACCAACAACACAATCACTGAGGAGAAAGTTGGACGGATGTGAAAGTACTAGGATTTTTGGTTGGTGGGTGTGATCGATATCGGCTTTCACCACTCCGATGGAATGGGAAGAATTAGAAATATGCATAAAAATCCTCATATTAATAGAGAAAGACTAAAAAAATGTTCCAGAATAGCGTGACTTTCTTCGATCAGTCTCAATTTGAGATAATGAGTATATTCTCTTTCTCTCATTGTGAAACATCGCCGAGATGGATTAATTGTTTGAGATTTTTGCTTTCATTTCTCCCCTTCTTTTTTAGGTCGCTTGGCCCGACGCCACTTGTCCATCATGTCGAGAAACTCGGCTTTCCGTGGGTTTCAATTTCCTCCTTCGCGTCACGGCTCGACCGCCTCGACCGATTCGATGAGCACGGCAGCCGCACGGCCCAAACTGGCCAAGCTGGATTCGTCCTCATCCTCGAGACACAGCAGTAACAGCAAAGGGGGCAAGGGGAGTGGTGCGCATCGTCCCACCCAGGCGGAAAAATCGGTATTTTCGGACCTTTTTCCGACCTGGAATGACGGAGAGGTCACTTTCCTCACGCTTTGTCTCGACCCAGAACCTTCTGGAAGACCGGGGTGCAATGCTCTGCTAAGGTTGCCGTATTTCACGCATGATAACTTTCCCTCCAGGTGAGACCATTCAGTTAATTTCCTGTCATGATAATTGAAAACCCAGAGTACAGCTTTATTTAGCCCGAGTCAGGTTGTTATAAATCATTGAAGTGGGTATAATACGACCACAACCTTTTTTTAGTTTTCGACACATCTTGCTCATCTTATAACTTGATTTGTAATTATGCATGTTTTATGTGTGTGCAAAATTTCAAGTCGATTGGATAAGTTTTACGAGCGTAATCGATAGACAGACAGACAACCATGACGGCTACATAAGTCCTGACTCGGGCTAAAAATCAAAAATTGTTTATACATTTTTGTGTACAACGATTTATATTTTTTGTCCCCAGATTTATTAACGAACTGAACCAAAAGCTTCAACTCGAGGGACGCCACCCAATCCCGGCCTACTCGACACGCAAAAAACGCAGCGTCTTAGGAACCCTTCAGCACGGTGCTAACGTTGTCCCCGGTCATCACAACGTGTCTCACCTGACCAAGAAGAATCCCGTGTATCAGGGAAGACTTAACTTGGCCGAGACAAGTAATGAACCACAACCAATCACGACCAAATATTCCGACACTTTTCCTCCTACCACGGTGCAAAAAACACCACAACTTATTGCGGCTGGAAAATCAAATCAAATCGATAACACGACTTCCTCCTCGCAACAACAACAACTCTATAAATTCAGCAATTTGACGAGAGATCAAACATTTTTGGTGGAACGAGGTAAGGGAAGTCTCCCGAGAAAAAATGGAGAATTTTTCGTCACCAACCAGGAGACGAGGATCCCTTCCTTGCTGAGTAGAAAGTATTCGGATGACTCCCTCCAAAATAAGAACAACGGATCCTTGTTCCTCAATTCTACTTCAAAATCCACCCCAAACATAGTCACGGAAGGAAATTCCAGTAATCCACAAGGACACAAGGAGATGAAAAGGTTCTCAATTCCGCAACAGCAGCAGCAATCCCAAACCAATAATTCTTTCACTCAAGGGGTAACCCAACCTAGGAAATTTTCGTATTCTTTCCCACCCCCCGACAGCAACGGGAAAGAACAGCAGCAGCAGCATCATAATTCGTACATGAAAGAGTTTGATAATGAAAATAGCGGTGGAATTGGAACCAAACTATTTCAGCCCCTCCCCGTAACTACGTTAACCTTCAGTCTGAACGGGGGTGGCGTGGGGGGTGGTTATCATAACCATCCTTATTCCCTCTCAGTGGCGACGACGAGCAATTCAAAATCTCCAAATCCCCCCTACCTCAATGTGACTAGTCAACAGATCCTGAAACGGACGCCGAGTCCGACGCATCATCAAAATAGTAACGGTGCTTCTACTCGAATATTGAAGAATAGCGAATTTGGGAATAATACAAACTCCAACTACTTTCCACACACCCACTTTTCCACGAATAATATGAACGGGAATTCCAACGGGGGTCGATATCCGGTCAGCTTTTATCAAGCAAATAATAGTAATAATGGGAACAACAATTTCGCCAATAATGCGAAATCCCTGCCCGCCACGGTATTTGGGTCGTCGATGATTTTAAAGAATCATACCGACTTTGGTGGTGGTGGAAATAGTGGGGGAGAAACTTCGTCCTTCCTGCCACGCATGCCGGGGAAGACTTTCACCGGATCGGGAGGCAGTGTTAAGGAGGAGGAGGGACCGTCAAGTAAGTTTAATCAAATTTATCAGCCTTAAACATTTACATTTTTTCAAAAATTTGTAGCAATTTTTTTTCAGGTTACTCAAAAGCTGGGACTAATTCGCTCCCCCGAAGAAGAGAAAGTATGACGAATAGCAGAATGTTATGGGGCGAACAACAGGAATTAGGATCTCCTCCAGGGAAAAGTAGCGGAGTCACCTTGCTGTCCAACATTAAGGGGGTCACCTCAACCAAATTAAGCAATGGGAGCGGAGATCACATTCTGTTGACGACGTCGACGACGACGAACAACAATCCCAGACATTTTAGCACGTATGGGACGCAGCTATATTAGAAATTGATTCCAGGAATCGATAAATCGATTTTTTTCTCAGTTTATTTATTCTTAAGGAGTTTGGTACATACATATTTATCGACTTAATATTTAATAAACCAATTATTACAAATTTTTTGATCACCACCATTGATGCTTCAATCGTTTAAATATATGCTATAACTCAAGTTAAGTAATCACTTAATTAATTTTCACGGCGAGTCATTATGGAAAATTTTTCGGAAAATGGTTCCCTAGAATTGTTGAGATGAAGATGATGATGAGGCGGATGCGTTACTTGTCGTATTTTTGTAGTCCCTCTTGTTCTGGAGGTACCAAACTATGTGCCGTTTCCGTATTGATTCGTCATGTGCTTTCTCCACGCTCTGGGCAAAGAAATGCATAATTTATGTAGTAAACACAACACACTTTTTTGGTAAAAAAAGTTGGGTTTACCTTGTTAAAAGTGTCCACAAAGTCGTCAGCCTCCCCCTCCGAGGACAACCTAACCTTGAAATCTCTCCTCTCTGGGACTGCATCCGCTTCGAGAGAGAAGCAGACAGCCCCATCCCACAAGCAGAGACAGGTTTTTGTCGACTCGTCCAACCTCTTGAGGGAAGAGTTCCACTTGTAAATGTACTGGTGAAGGAGTTCCCTCTTGTCGCCGTCCACGAGGCGGAGTTCATTCAGGGCGACGTCGCCATGATCCAAAATTTGTAGAGTGCCAGTTCCAAACTCGGCGTAGACTAAAGAAAAAATAGACCAAAAAAATTTGACATTTTGGTAAGTCATAATTTTTGTTTAATACTCACCAAGATCCAATTTAACGAAAACTGTGGTAAAAACTTGGAAAATAACGTCGCCCGGAGTGTCGACAAGTTTCGTATTGTCGCCATCTCCTCCTCCGCCATGGGTGGGTGGTTTGGGTGAATTATTTTGATTTCCACCAGAATCACCACCACCGCCACCGGAATTATCCGATCTCATCATCATGATTGGATTGTTGTTGGTATTGTTGATGATAATTGAGTTTGTCCCAGCCATCAATCCACTTCCACGATTCAGGGATTCTTTATACCGGAGTCGATCTGCTTGTTGTCGAGATCTTGGGCGTAGTCCGACCCCAAACTCTTTATTGTTGCCCCCATCATCTTCCCCACCACGGCCAGGATTTCGCCAATTGTCATCTAAATCCGCTACGTGCAGAGGCGTTCGAGGTTCGGATGGGTGTCGCGACCTTAGCGGTAATGATAACCCGGATGGTGAAGCTTTGCAACTGCTGTTGCTGCTGCTACAGGACGCATGCGCCATGGGGTCACCACCTCCTCCCCTGTTCCGAACTGAAAACGTGAACGGAGATCGCGACGGAATTTCAGCACTTAAAGCTGCCCTTGACCCGGACGCGATTCCTACCGAGGATGATGAAATGAGATCCGCCTGGGCCAGAGCGACGCTGATTTTGGTAAAAATATTCTTCATTCTTTGCTCGTGCGTGACCTCGCGGTGGTTCCAGGCTGTAGTTTGGCCCTCTTGGAGCGTCTTGTAGAATCGGGAGGAGTCCTCCGTGTTGACAAAATTGATGACGCACATTTCTGAAGGCGGACCATAGAGGGATTTCGCCGCCTCGATCTCAATCGCCGTGGGACTAACGACACTGACGAGAAGGCTGTGAGTCAAGAGGCGGTTAAACTTTACGACGGTGCGAGAAATGTCTTCTTTAAAAACCATGAGCCAACGTTGTCCTAAGAATTTTAAAAAATTGATATGAATTTTTAAAGTTCTGTGAAATTTCGTAGTTAAGTAAATTACCAGTTCGCTCCTTCTTGGTGAAAACGGCGACACAATTCGGCATCGAATCGAGCAGTGATCCTCGATAGAAGCGGTCCAACCTGACCTCGAAGCAGTCCACGATATCATTTCCCATGAGAAAAATCCTCCTGTGAGCATCCAACGGAACTTCGGGGAAAGAGGCGAGTCTCTCTTCAAACACTTCGCGTGACCGGACGTCCCCAATTTCTGGAAAACCTCGGGATGACGCGGAATTGGAAGCTGCATAATCACCACTTCCATACTCTAACAAGACTTCGTCAATTGTGGGAAGCGTGTCGGGTGGAAAGAAGGTGTCGTCCTCTTCATCCGGAAAGATGGGTCCGAGTGAAGAGTGGTGATGATGAGAATTGTGGTGGTTGTCATAATTGGCGTAATTGTTGTTGCTATTACTGTGGCCGAGACGGGGTCGAAATCCGGAATTTGATGCTCGGTTGTTGCCGTAGTTGGACGGCATCATCATATGTGCATTGCTGGAAGGTCGTGGGGTTGGTCGCCGGCTGTAAAATGTGGTGGAGGACGTTGGCACGGTGTGTGTTCCGGGGGCGATGTAACCTCCGGGAAGCATAGAGGCAGAAACGTCGTCATCCAGAGAGTCATAGTTGGAAGGAGATGACATCCTCCTGCGCATGAAATTTTGGTGATGATAAAAAATACCTAAGCTATTTTGACATTGATTTTACATGACACTTCTCGGAGACAAAAATCCATTCTGAAACTGAGACGGATATCGGCGTCCGCCTGCCCCTTGAAGAAGGCTAAAGTGGTCGCTCGTGGCCCTGCTTCCACCCCTTTGATTGGTGTTCTCCATTGGGTGGTTGTGGTGGTGGTGGCGGCCGCCATGATGAGTCATGTATTCTTCCTTTCGTGGCATCTTACTTATCTGAACACTTATCACGTTCGAGTGATGAGTTTGTGTAGCACTGGTCAAAAGAATCGCCGTGAGGCACGTCAGTTGCGGGCTAAAAATTGTGAACGCAGATTACTCTAATTTTTGTCTGTGAAAAGACGGGAATAGAAATTTTGTCAAAGGAATCACGACGTCATAGAGATTTCGTTGGCAACAATTTTCCTGTAAAATATGACGAGTTCAAAATTTCACTCCCAATAATAAATTGCTCATCTGGGAAAACAATTTTCTCTTTCCGCATAAAAAAATCGTGTTTTTAATCGCTGACACTTATCTGAGTCTTGTCGATCAAAAGATGGCATCAGAAAAGTCCAAAGCTGACCCGGAAGTCCGTTTCGAGCGTGGAATTCCACTCAATCATCGATTTACTGGAGAAATTTTCGACCCACCAGAACCTCTGCTGCCTGAGTAAAAAATACATCCCATATTTTTTTAAAAATTTTATAGGAAGGATGTCTCGAGTAAATTCTTTTTTTAATGTTTCCAGATTGGCTGCTGCTGCTGCTCCAAAGAAAGTGACGCCAACCGCTGGTTCGTATGCCATCGAGCGCTTCGTTCTTCCCGACGATATCGAAATCCCTCCAGAGTCGATGACTAATGAGGGCGAGTTTTTTCCCTTCAACTTGGACGAGGACAAAATGCCTCCGTTTATTCTGGATCGTCGCGACGTTTTGAAACACATTCCTAAAGAATTGTTGGAATCTGAGGTATACAAAAATTTATGCATAATTTTTTCGAATTTTTTTCCCAACACTACTATTTCTTCTTCTTCAGGGGGACAAACCCTACGTGTTTACTCCAGTCCAGAAAGACGACAAAGTGAAGCCTGAACCGAGTGGAAACTTCAATCAAATGATGGACACCGATGTAACCAAACGATTGGCCGATGTGAAAATTATCGCCGCCGCGAACGCTGCAGTTGCAGAGGTACATAAATATTTACAATGTAGATAATTGTAGCTTAAAAAATTAAATATTTTAATTAAAAATTCCTATTCAGGTCCGACAATTGCAAGAAGAGCAGGAAAAGTTTAAAGCTGCCGTCGCTCCGAAGACTCCGAACAAGGCTGGCAGCATTGTCGAGCAGAGGTCACGATCTCGCTCAAAGTCAAAGGGAAAACCGACAACTCCGGCTCCAAAAAGTGCGACCCAGAGTTTCCGCAAGTAATGTGAAGCTTTTTTTGCATAAGAAATCCTTCTTATTTTTTATTGATGTATGTATGAAACCACAAAATTTTCATTTTTCTCAACTTTTCATAAATTCGAAATGTAATAAGAAACTGATACAGCGATTTTCAATTTAATAAAAAAATCTGTAATTTATAATCAATTTGCATAATACATTATCTAAACAACCTTGATAAATTGTAAGGCATAAGCATATGCATAACATCATGAAGCACCTACATAAACTCAACTTCCGGATTCTTTACCCGTGAAGCAGTCGACCTTGGCAGGGCACTGACATTTCTACATCTTTTGTCTGATTGTATATGTAACAGGACCCGTGAACCCTTTGAAGTTGTAACCCTTTGTTGTCTCTCTCTTTTTCCGTCTCATTCCAAATTCTCATGTCAGAAAGGAAGGGTACACAAAATGTAGAACCATTTGTCAATTTTCATTTAAAAATTAAAACGTTTACATCTTCATAATTAAGCGCATATTATCTATTCCAAAATTCAAAAACCAACTCGTCTAAAATGCCTCTGGTAAAGTATAACATTTTCTCACAAATTGTGTCCAGGATTATAAAATTAATCATTACTTTTTAATCACTTTGTTAGCTTCAAATAGTTCCGATACCGTCTAATCTCCCCAAAGTAGATCGGATCTATGATTACTACCCAGCACCACCCCTGCCCGAACCTGAATTTGATATAGAAGTGTGGATCGGTATTATTTTCTACATCTTTGTCTTCGTTGTGGTGGTTTGGTTTATCATGGACATGCTCAGCACGCCGGGAGGGGTTGACGTCCTGGCTTATTCCCCAGGTTATCACCACCACTACTTTTGGGGAGGTGGTCCAGCCAGAGGGGGAATTGCGGGAATTGGTGGCCACCCGGTTGTCGCGGGACGTCCCCACATTCACGCAGGGTCAGGTGGTGGATTTCACGGTGGGGGGTTGCATTCTCATGGGGGGTCCGTTTTCCACTCGCATGGGTCACATTCTCACAGTGGAGGATCACATTCGCATTCTCATGGCGGATCACATTCACATTCTCATGGACGCCGGAAACGAGACTTGACCAGTATTGAGAATAAAAACACTTGGGTAAAATTTCGTAAAAAGTTTAAGCTAGTACGATAAGGTTTTCATAGATTTTGTGCACTTTTTTTAGATTCATGAACCTGAAACGATGCATCTTCTCGCAAAGATTTTGTCCCTACGACCAGAAGATTTTAACCTATGACTTTAACAACTGGAATCAGAACCAATGTTATATCGCGAGGGCTTTGAGTTCTGCTGGATATTTTCAACTACTTATGTACACATTATCAAGAAATAAACTTTGTTACACTTTTTGTTCCGATGATTTCATCCACTCTACATACATACACTTCACTAGATTCATACACCCGGGTATTACATAACCCGGTGAAATCATTGCATCCTTGTATCGATCTTATTCAAATCCAGAGACAGGCGAATTTCGAGCTGTACAAAGGCGGAAAGAAAGACTTCAGCATGTGCAGAATTCGTGTTGCAATAATTGTAACTTAACAGTTACGCAGGAGTTCAATATTCTAATATTCCCATATAAAAAGGAAGTCCAAAATTTTATCATAGTGCAGCATACATATTTATTATGTGCATTAGTGCAAAGTGTATTGTGAATCGATTATTTTTGCGAAGAAATAATGCATACTTCTTGTTTATGAGAAATCCGACACTTTTATAGCTTCTGTTGCATATTGCATCATCTCACTCATGGCAGAGCAGGGGTCAAGTTACGAAAAGTGAAGCAGTCCAGTACCAACCATTCATCATCACCAGTCTAGTAATAAAATGGTCTCGAGTTACATCTTGTCATCATAAATTCATTAGTTAAGGTAGTTATTCGAGATAAACGTGATATGCAATCCAGTCTTCCCATGCTACTTTATCCACCATGTACATATTTAAGTAGGATAAATACATATCTGCGTAATTAAGTTTAGTTCTTGGAAAATGAATCATTAAATTTATTTCTCAACAGTGCAGCCTTAGTCTACCTTCTCATCCTGACTGGATGGTACATATTTAGTTAGTTACACTTATACCGGCACTTCTTTTTTTACGTAATTATTATTTGTCTCCTTTAAAATATACGTTCTTCAATTACCTTCGAACTCTTAAAATGGCCACGCTTAAAGTGACGACCTTACTCGTGGTGGTTATGCTGCTGCCCTTGTTGACCAACTCCATCCAAGTGAACGTAGACTACAGTGACCCCCGTTACGACAAAATGTTGAACACCTGCATTGACAGCAAGAACCATAAAGTTAAACCTGGGCCGGAAGATAAATTGCATAATCAGGTAGCAGGGAACATTACATATTTCTTAGAAATTTTAATTACAAAAAAATACTCATATTAATTAATTTTTTGCGAATTAGTGCTCCCCGTGGAAGCGTCGAAGTTGCTGTACCCATCAAACCACTCATGACGCTCATCACACCAAAATGTACAATTTCGACTGGAATCACTGCTCACAGAAGAAAAATTTATCCGATAAATGTCGTCGACATTTCATTCAGGATCTTTGCTTTTACGAATGCTCGCCAAACATGGGTCCATGGACGGTGAAAGTAAGGACATTACATAATCCACTCAATTTTATGTCCATACATTCCTCCACGTGCTTCTTAATCAGCATAAATATTCCAGGTCAACAACAAGTTTAGAAAGGAGCGATTTTACAAAGTGCCTTTGTGTGCGAGCGACTGCACCACGTGGTTCGAAGACTGTGCCGAGGACATGACCTGTACCGACAATTGGGTTCAGAACATGGAGTGGGTGCCTGGGCTGGGAAATAGGTGTCCTGGAAATTCATCGTGCCACACGTTTGCCGAAATTTACAGAACGTCCAAGAACTTTTGTGAAACGGTGTGGGACCATTCTTGGGAGGTGAGGATTTTTAATGTCGACACTTTTGGTGGGTCGTAAAATTGGTTCATTTTTAGGTTAAGGACGACAACCAACATTGCATGAGACTCTGGTTCAACTCTTCTATTGGAAATCCGAACGACGCCGTGGCCAGGTGGAAAACCGTCCAAATCTTCCAAGCGATGAAGGGTGGTGGTGGTTCAAGGTCTGTGACGTGGTCATCTTGGCTGTCTGCGGTGGTGGTGGTGGCGATGACTAATATTTTTGCGAGATTGTGAGACTAATTATTGACCTGAACATAGCTAAAAGTGAAAGCGTTGTAATTCCTCATCCTTCATAAAATTATATTTTTAGGAAATATGTAGCAGGAAAATTTATTTAGAACAGTAGCAATAAAAATGAAAATATTTTTTGTCTCCAAAATTATGCAACAGCATCAAATACTTTATTCACATTTGTTTCCTTATTATTTTTAAAACTCATGCATAAACTTAATTACAAAATTTCTTTAAAAAACGCATGTTCTTTTACCAATTAAATATGTAACATAGTAGTAGCTGACTTGACTAGTATCTGTGTATTCAACATAAAAATGCAGCTTTTTGAACAAAATAATTACTGTAATAAGTTATCAAACCACCACTTTGTTCATCTATGTCCGTGATGATAAGACATATTTTTAATATTTAAAAAACTTGGCAAAATATTTACTCAAACATTTTTTTCCAGTAAAATCCTGTAAAATTCTCCTAAATAAAAGCAGAAGTAAATTGCGTAAAAAATCTTGTGATTAATTAACAATTAATTTTTGGACATTTACTTGTATGCAGACTGGAATTCATTGAATTGACGATCTCATGAATTTTATCAAGTCAAAAAACTTTAACAACAACCTGAATATCTATTTAACTAGCAAAAAGACTGGCAAAAAATGGTAACTTTTTCCTTTGTGGTGTATGTAATTTATTTTACTGACATAATTTGACTGGCTCGTTGGGTAACTCTTCTGTACTTATCAAACAAGATCGTAGCTTATCATTGACTCTGACGTAATAGTTATAATTTGGTTTATCATTTTTCCATCATCTCTTTTTATCAATATTGCATTATTGTTCAGTGTTGAAAAATAAGGAAATTTTTAAAATTCATGTCCCTCAAAAAATAAGTAAGTGTAGATGGACGCACATTTTAACAATTTTTTAGAGCACGATGCAATTACCTTGACGCCTACGTTGAGGTTCAGGTCGTAACACAGATCGAACAGCTTCATCAAAAACCTGTGGATAACAAGTTATCTAATAAGATGACACCTTTTTTATTTTAGATTTAAGATAAGACCTAAATATGCACCTGTCTCAATCCACGCTGCGTCAAGGCAGAACATTCCTGTAAAAAATAATAAGAGTAAAAAATACTTTTGGAAAGTCATAAAATAAGTAAATCCTTACGAGATACTTGACGGCACGGATTTTATTGGCTAAACGTTGTCCTTGTTCCCTTTTGACGGGGGTGAGTCCTTGTTCACTTAATTGTTGCAGGGCTTCCTTGTCGTCTCTCAAGTCGAGTTTTGTTCCTATGCAAGGAAGACAACTTTTTGAAATAATCTTACGATTTATGTATTATTAAACTATTACCGATGAGAAGAATAGGAGCGTCGGGGCAGTGATGCTTAATCTCTGGGTACCATTTAGACGTCACATTTTCATACGAGGAAGGACTCACAATTGAAAAACAGACGAGGAACACGTCCGTCTGTAATGCATTATTGAATTATTTTGTGTCGTGATTTAAATACTTTAAATTAAGGAGGGACACTTCACTAGTTGCCACACTCAGATTTTGATGCCCTTTGGACATGTTGGAGCATCCCATGAGTGAAAAACAACCCTGAAGTAATTTGACCCCATGACCACATTTGCGCCCGCCACACCCACTCGAAGACGCCCAAGAACGGAGAAAGTAGCACTTTCACTCATCTAAATTCACGCCAAAAATTCTTTTTTACTCGGATTTGGAAAATCCGTACACCATTATACTCTCAGATAGTTGTTTTCTTATATCCAAGATCAAACTCAACTTTTTTGATGAATATTTTACCAAGAATAATTTGCATGCTCATTCAGAATTTCAAAGTTGAGGTTGATGTTGGATATAAGAAAGCAACTATCTGAGAGTATAATGGTGAAAGAAATTTCAAAATCCGAGTAAAATTGGATTTTTGACGTGGATTTGAATAAGTGAAAGCGCTACTTTCTCCGTTTTTTGGGCGCCTTCAAGTGGGTGTGGCGGGCGCAAATGTGGCCATGGGGTCAAATCACTTCAGGGTTGTTGTTCACTCATGGATGCTCCAACATGTCCAGGGGGCATCGAAATCTGAGTGCAGCAACTAGTGAAATGTTCCTTCTAAGTTATGTAACTTATTTTCCCATTTTCTGACCTGAGGATAAGATAGCGGTCTTAATCGGTCGTAGTCTTCCTGTCCAGCGGTATCCCACAGCCCTAAACTTTTTTTTGAAGGTCAAAAGGTCACAATTAAGGTCATGGAGGTCAAGAGGAAGTATTTGTGATCATTTTAAGCCCCTGTTGGACTAAATCGGTCCAGTGGTTGTCTCAGGAGGGGAGGTTATGTACGATCAACTCACGGATCTCAATTGCCTTTGGACCCCATGAGTGTCCCCCAATTGGTTTGACCCCACGGCCCCATTTGCGCCCGCCACACCCACTCAAAGGTGCCCAAAAAACGCTTTCACTCCAGCTTTCACTCGTTAAAATCCACGCCAAAAATCCAATTTTACTCGGATTTTGAAATTTCTTTCACCATTATACTCCTAGATAGTTGCTTTCTTATATCTAACATCAAACTCAACTTTTAGAAATTGTTGGTATTTTTAAAATTCAAAATTCTCGATGAGCATTATTTTAATACTAAATAAATCAATTATGCCTACAAAATAATCATTAAACAAGTTGAGTTTGATGTTGGATATAAGAAAGCAACTATCTAGGAGTATAATAGTGAAAGAAATTTCAAAATCAGAGTAAAATTGGATTTTTGGCGTGGATTTTAACGAGTGAAAGCTGGAGTGAAAGCGTTTTTTGGGCACCTTTGAGTGGGTGTGGCGGGCGCAAATGGGGCCGTGGGGTCAAATCACTTGGGGGTTATTGTGCATTCATGGGAGACTATAACATATCCAAAGGGTATCGAGATCCGTGAGTTGACAACCTCTCCTCCTTAATAATATTTGTTATTTAATTTTGTGCTTTCTTCAATTTTAATTTACCTCACTGGAATGGAATCCACGACCATTGGAGCTGAGTAGTTATCAAATCTAGGTATATAAAATAGTTAAATGTTATTCCTTGATTATCATGCAAGTTTCATGATTTGTTAAAAAAAAAGTCCTTACACAGTAGGCACATATTCACCGGGGAAGCTGTCGGTAGTATAACTGTGGAATTTCATGATAAAAAAATCCAGTAGTTTATTCACACGATTAAAATGCATACATGATTTTAATTAAGAAATTATTTGCATACCTAATTAACATGCAAGTTTTACCGACGGTTCCGTCCCCCACAACTACACATTTAATCGGCCTCCCACTTGACATTGTGTATGTAGCTCTGTCTAATTTCACAAATTTTGCCGTAGGTTTTACTATGAATTCACTTGTTTATTAATGTGCGTATCGTTTACAATTCACAACCAGACTTGGTCAAATATTTGAACAAATTATGTGTCTCGTCCTCTCCTTTAATTAAAGTGAGTCATTTGCATTCCATGAAAATTCTATTACACATATTTACTACTTGTGGTTGAACAGATATTTAAGCTTTTCTTAAGCAGGACAGATTCAGATTCTGGCACAACTCTTAATATCACATCACCTTTTTTCTTCTTAATAACAACCTTAAACCACAAAGAAGTGAGATCTTATATGTAACAGATCGATCGGCTTATTTAACATTTATGACTCAAGTCAAATGTCAATATTGTTATTATTGAATCATCACGTTGCACTTATTTATTCGGAAGAGGGGTTGTTGTGAACTTTATAATTTTATTTTGCACAACCGGTTATAAAAATTTGTCTTCATATGAAAGAAGATGAATAATATTCCAGAAATCCCACCATCCCACCCAACAAAATCTGTCCAGAGTTGCTTTTATGTATGAGTATAGAAATAAAATCTATCTACAAAGTACATAAGTAAGGAAGGGTTGTTTTTTGCTGAGTTTTTCGTATTTTTTATATTCTCTCGTCTATCTCAAAAGTATAAGTGATCCACCAAACCAAACCAAACCAAGTAATTCTTCGTCTTCTTCTTCTTCTCCTAGTTTTGAGATATTTCACTCAAAACTTGAAGAAATGAGGGGTTCTCCTCATGTTATAGTAGATTCAGTCAGGCAAGGAACCGTGAAATCGGACCGGATCTCAGAACCAGAGCAGCTTGGCACTTCCTGTCTATTTTTGCTTTACTCGAATCACCAAACCCAATCCATGCTACCATGCACTTACACTTTTTACTTATGCACTTACACACCAAGTATGCAGATATTATGTATGAAAACGTCTTAAAACGTCGTCCGTTCTGGAAAATCCATGAGTGGAGAGAAGAGCAAAAAGTTAAACTTTTAATCCAATTGACACTTTTAACGGATTGATGAGATTACGGTGAAAAAAAAATCGTACCAAAATGGAATGCCTTTCACGATTATCATGTAGCAAAAGTTGTTCTTGGCAAAGTTTTGCTTTTACTCATCGGCTAGAAGTGTGTAAAGAAAATCCCTGCTTTTAAAATCCGGGCAGTTTTTGTCGAGCGTGATGTGATGATTTTTCAACATTCGGGTTTTCATGTGAGTATGTAAGTTGCTGCTTAATTATATGCTTAGTTGGCCAGAAATAGGGGAAGGAACATAGGGCCTGGAAGGAAAAACAGTTCGTGCCATGTCATGAATGAGTCGGGAAGGGAGGGTCCCTATCTGCCCGACAGACACCCTAATAATTGCATATCCATCCGGTTAAAATGAAATATCGGGTAGTAGTGGCACCCGGTATACATAAATGTTCATATGTGGTCTGGTCTGGTCTTGCAGCCCCTTCCCTTCTCATTTTAATTTCATAATGCATACTACATATCCGACCGAACACACATGAAAAAGTGAACCTCACAAGTTAAGTCGGCTTGACTTGGACAGGATTTCATTATTTGAATGGGTTTTGTTATGACCCAGACAGACAGAGATAGACAGACAGACACCCGGTGTATGTGCAAAACTTTTAACCCGGTATAAAGGGTACGTATCTACAATACATCTAGGTGATTACGATTGGGGAAACTTTCCCAGTCCTGGCCTGACACTGACTTTTGGAGTTTGATTGAGCACGTTGTAAATTATTGATGCACTTTTTAATACCCTTCTGGCAGGATGTCTGCTCATGAAATAAATAAATGATCACCTTAAAAATTTTATGTATGGCAAACTTTCTTAAAAAATTGTACATTTGGGAGAATTACGAAGGGATGTAAGGATAGTTGAATTCTAAAATATGTAAATTTAAAAAACTGTTACACGCTTGACTTGACAAATTACTCTTCTGCCAGCCAACATCCTGTGCGAAATATAATAATGATACACACCCGAAACTGTTTTTGCATGTAAACTTAAACTTTATTGTTGTTCTACTCAACTAACTAAACGTTATGGTTTAAATAACTAGCAAATATTTAATCAGACCTTGGTTTCATTTTTGTTGTACGAATTACAAGAAATTAATCATTGTAAATCATCAAAATTACTGGAGATGTACACAACACAACTTGTAACATAAGTGTAACATTGATTATTTTAATGTAGCGTCAGTTAGCTGCATTGCAAAAAATTGGCTCACTTAAAGTACGACGTGTACATACGTAACTTTCACCTCAAATCATAATTTACATGGTTTTTTGTATAATCTGACAAAGTAATGGTACATTATCGTCTTTCTTGGTAAATAAGAAGAAATGATCTACATGTAAATATCTAGATGAGGTAAGAATTTATAAATATTGTAACAAAAAGAAACAATAAAGACAAGAAAAACGTTCGGAATTCATAGTTTTGGTATTTGTCTTGTTAAAAAAGTATACTCAAGAAAATGTACAACATCAAGGTTTCCGTCGGACATATGCCATTAAATGCAACAAGATTAAGTTTAACATGTAATTTTTAAATTATTCCGCACATGTTTAGTCTTTGTGATTCGTTAGAGTTGAGTTACTTATTCTAATTAATTCGAATTAATGCAACAAAAAATAAAAGTCGCCGACACTGGTGGAGACTAGTTAACAAAATTCGGTTCTGCGTATGTAGAACGTTATAATGTTGGTTTGTAATTAATTATTAATTAATTAAGCTACTATTTCATAAGAATTAATGTTTTGTTGTAGTATTTACTTCGAGTGAAAAACTTACAAAATTTATAAAGCTAAACTCTACAGTTTTTTATATCAACTTTAATTATTCATTCAGCATCAGCAGTATTAGCAGATCTAAATATAATTATTTAATCCTAAACTTATCATTACTAGTAAGCCGAGCAATACACAAACTTTTTGCTCTAGTTTTATGACGACAAGAAATGAAGACAAAAAGTAAACGACAAAGATTTTACGATTACAACAAGATTTACATTAAGATGAGCAAGTAGTAGTGGTAGTTTATATGTAGCCAGTTACATACATGTTAATACAGACAAAACTTACTCACTTGACGAATTTGGTGCATTATAATTTCATCAAGTGAAAGCAGCAGGATTACATTATTACTCATTACAACAAGTATTACAACAAGAACAACAGCAACAACCAAGCTAGACATTATTCTAATTATGTACTACGACAATATGGGAAAGTTGCATGTCATTACCGTTAATTAACTTCACAGTAAATGGACATATTTGTAATCGAAAATCCAACAGGATGAAGACACGAACGACATAATAATCATAAATACATACATATGGCTAACCGTACATATATTGGTGGATACAACATTTTTATGTTTGTACACACAAAAAAAGAAAAACAGAAAACAATCAAGTCAGGAATGAACAAAATGCATGATGGTAAAAAATTGTAGAATTGAAAAACAATGAGAAATAAGTGGGTATTTAAATAAATAGGGGAAGCGAATGTCTTCATAATTAACTAATTACTTGTGATAATGAGAATTTAACAGTTTCATCAACATGACGAGTTTGGAGGTCTTGGAAGTGCTCGAACCTATGGTCAAAGAAATGAAAAGCTAGAATTACATGGCCCTTGAATTGTAAAATGCACACACGAATCGTGTGTGCATTTTACAATTCAATTCAATTCATTTTACAATTCGTGTGACACGAATAGAAATAGAAAAATTTGAATCGAACCAGGTAAAGTTTCTCTCCTCGTTGATTCGTGTAAATGGGAGCTCGTTGGTAATGTTCGACAAGTTGGTCCAAGGAAATAAATTTTCTCTGCCCGATGCCAAATTGTCCACCTTCGAGATGCACGCGGAAATGCTTATTCCTTCCGGGTGCCTTCAAACTAGGGCAGAAAAATAAATTATCATTACATTCTCGTGGCGAACAAAATAATATATCAATCAAGTTACCTCACTGAAAAATCTCCTGCCTGAAAAGAATTGAAATTATGTAAATTAGTATCACTAATAAATCACCCCAAAATTATATGAATTCTTACATTGGTTTCAGAATCTCTTATAAGGAAGTCGCCATCAAGTCCTCTGTCGTTAAGCAGGAGGTCACACTGGGCACGCGAAATGGCACCAAAATACCAGTTTTTGGACAAAAGGTAAGCCCGGTCATGAACTGGGCGATTATTGTGATGTCCATTCGTTCCGGCCCCATTTGTTTCACGTAATGGTTGAGTAAGGAATTCAGATAACTCTTGTAAATAATTTCGTGGAACGAGCCCCACTTGTCCGTTGGATTTCCTCGCTTTGTACCAATCTGGATCGGACGAAGGCCGGTCAACTATTTCGAGGCGGTCCCCCTTCAAACAATCATATAAAATTGCATCAAGTAACGTTTTAAAGAACTGTTAACCATATTCTAAGACTGGCTATGTTTGTGTTACTAGAAAGGTAGGAAGTTCTGCCTTTTTTTTAAATAAATGCCTAAAATTAATAGCACTTTGCCTAGACATATGTATATTCACATAACACTCGTTATTACAAAACATATAAAAAAATTGTAAATTTACCTTCTCGAAACTTAGTTCTTGGTCGTTCTAATGAAAAAAGACATAGGATGATATTGAAAACATCGTCCGCAATATAACAAAAATCCATATTTTACTTTATATACCTGCGCCGTGAAATTGTAGAGAGCCACCATAATATCGAGAACATTTTCAGCCATGGCATAAGTATGAAGAGTTTCGTCGACTTCTTGCTCTTCCTGGGTATAATTGGAAGGGAACCTTTGATTGATAATATAACCATGATTTTAGTCACATCTCCAGCGCAGTTATTAAAAGATCCTATATTTATGTGTGTACCATCCAATGTGACTTCCATATTGACCCTTCCACCACCCATCATTCGACTTTTCTAAAATGAGTATCCGACTCCCTTTGATCAAGGCTAATTCGTCCATTTGTTGTGCTTGGTACGCATACTTGACCAACGCCGTGCCAATTGCTTCTTGCGGATCGAGCGGTCGGAGATCGATCGCCTTATAGTTTGTGGCACCGTTTCCATTATAGCCGCCGTGACTCGGAGAAACGTGGCTAGCTGGTGGGGGAACTTCTATATTTCTCGAAGGGGAATTTGGCAAAGTTTTTGATCCTGTCGTACCCTTTTTTACTTTCTTTTTTATACTGAAAGAAACAACAAAAATTAGAGTCGTTGTTATAATTGGGGAAATCATCATCGAATGCGAAAAAAATATTTGGCTACCTATCGAAAATGGATGGCTTTTCCCGTTTCACTAGAGATTAATAATAATGACATTTAGTTAGAATTTTTCTTGCATTGCACTGACCCAAGAGATAACGAGACAACTTACCGTAATTACTGGGGACATAGCCTGACTGACCTCGGGCGCTTTGGACCCTCCACCAATGCTTTGTATCCTATGATTAATCGTACAATGATATAAAACCAGGAGAAAATAGATAGAAATTAAACACGAAATGCTCTTACGTCGAGTAAAAGATATTTCTCGTTTTTTCTGAGATCCAATTCCTGTGCGCCTTGAGCAGTGTAGTCATATTTGGCTAAAGAAAAGACACATTTCATAAATATTGAGCATATATACATGAATGAAAATGCAGTTTCGTATTATCAACTCGACTTACCTACGACGTAACAAAATTCGTCCATGTGGCCGCCTCCTCCTCGACCTCCTATGCATTCCAGTAACATTTCTCATTAACTATTGCAATTTTTCGAAAAATTTACCAAAATAGTTTCAAAAGTGCACTAATTCATGCTTGTATACGATACGACGGGCACGATTGTTTCGATTCACTAATAAAATATTCTTCACTAGACAAAATAAAAACACCACAACGTGAATTACAAAAGATATTACGGTATTAATCCCATCCCGACAAAATAATGTGACTCACTCCATGAGGTGTGAATTATAATAATGTTTTGTCTTTGTAATGAACAAAAAAGAAACTAGTGTAATATGTGTAGCATAATGGCGTGCCTTAGGATATTTAACTAGTGTACTAATTATAATTATGTATTAGTTGGTTGGCATTGCATTGCATGATTATAATGTATGAAAAGTTATGTAAAACAAAAGTTAGTTAACATGAATGTAAGTACAAGGAACGAAGTCTGTAAATATTAACAATGTAACGAAACTGGGACACAAATTGTACTAATCCTAAGCTAAAATGTTTTCATGAAAAAGATGAGTAAATAATATTCAACCAAATAAAGAATAATTGAAATCTAAACACATTTTCATCTTCCATTACGTAACAACTTCATCTCTCATATTTTTCATTCATATATTTCAAATTACATTTCTACATGTGTGGAATGGGATTGTGTCATCGCCAACTTTAATTATTCAATAAACAGACAAAGTAGACTTGCTAATTGCAGTTTGTAATGGTATAATTTAATGGGCCAGAGAGAGAGAAAGTACTTTAATTATTATTTGATTTGTCGAAATTCTGTCAATTTACAGAGGAGCTCTCTGTGGCAAATGGCATTTTACTTCTGTTACTACTTTCAATTTCCATAATAAAGTTTCAAAAACTAATCAACATTACCAAACGAAAATCACAATACGAAATTAACAATAAATAATTAAGCCATCACAATTCAACAATGTACTTTAGCATTCCGTATTACAAAACCCTTGTAAACTTTCATTCTTACCATGTTTCAAACTGGCCATTCGACTAAACCTTCGACCTTTTTGTGAAACAAGTAATTTTAACAAGGTTTAGGTTTAACCCATTTAACTTTTTGTTTAAAATTCACTTTTCTACAACTATACATTTGAAGTAGCATTATTTTCCTAACAAATTCTCTACAAATTACAAGAGTAATTCAACCATTCAGCTTACCTTTTTAGCTTTTCAACAACAAATCAGTCAAGGTCGACTAGAGGCCAATTAAACAATTTAATTGGAAATAAACTCCTAAGATGATGAAAAAAACAGCCCTTTATTAGAATTTGTACTCAATGAGTCACTTCCTTTTCTTCCTCTTTAATAAATATCTGGGTGGGTTATCCAAATCTCACCCTGACCGAGGTACTACCACTAACTAATAGTAATAATAATACACTAATTATCGTAGTAAATGAGACAGGAGGACAGGGAAAGTAAGTGTTAGTTAACTATAAAGTGTTTACCATTCATTTAGTGTTTGTGGAATTTAGAGAAAGAGTTTATTAGAGGAAGGGCTGGTTTAGTTGGCCATAGATTTTGCCTGACCATCACGGAGACCTCTATACGTCCACCCCCACAACTCGGCTGGCTTCGCTTTGTTCACACTTTTTTTTGCATTGATTTCCATTTTGGCATGATTTTTTTTCAAAATTATAATTTCAATTTATGTACAGAGTTTATTATTTTAAAAATTGTTGGACCACAAGATCCTGATACTTTTGATAGAGATACATATTTTTTCAAATTATGATCACATAGGAAAACATTTTCGAATTTTTCTTGACATTTTTGCACAGTATAATTATTGAAATTTACAGTGTTTAGAGTTCATGATTCGAGAGACAAATATTTGTAGAATTTTACACTACAAGATTAGATTATGGTTTACAATCTGTTGAGAGAGAGACAAATTTAGTAGTTGAGTGCAAATGAGTATCCCTAAAAAAACACTTCTAAAATTGTTTGCCAGATTGATTTTGTAATATTTCAAGTTTATCGATCAGGTGAGCTAGCCATCACTAGCAGCTGCAGTCTTCCTGAAATAATATGCGCTCATGCTGGAGTCCAATTCGGCCTGTGAGTTGGAAATTTGGCACTTTCCGATAATTCCGTCAATCGTTTCAAACGTTGTGTCCGACTCATTCGTTTTGCCTGGTTTCCCGTACACGAAGTAGGCAAGGACACAAATGAAGATAAAGAGAATGAGGTGGACAGCAACGCTGACAAGGACGATGATGATTTTGATCATGTAACACTAGAAAAACACACCGATTAAGTTACACGCCCTGAACAATTACATTTGTAAAGAGGTTTTCTTATTGTTAGGTATTATTACTTACGGGAGAGTGATCTGCCGACTCGATGGCTTCCGGTACGGGGAAGACACGTCGCCCATTTTTACGAAGTCTTTGATCCTCCATAGACTGAATAACCCAGCCAGCAGAGAAGAAAGCAATGCTCACAACTTCCATAAAAACCAGAGTCGAAGGGATAGATTTGCATATGGCCCTAGCTCTTGGATGAAAGAGGAGCAGAATGGAGATAACTGGGGGGAAAGGATGACACCAGCATCAGTAAGCAGTACTTATAACAACGATTGCTAATTAACTAATTAACTTACAACAAACCAGTTTTCCCAAGTAGGCAAACACGACATGGACCCAGAGAAAGAATTTCCGGATGGGAAACTTGTACTTTGTGAATGGAACGGTGAGCAGTTTGACCGGGCGTGACCATGAAATGGCGAGTGCAATGTGGTAAAAAACCACAGCACCTATTCCTGCCTTGCGATGACTTCTGACCGTCCTCTTCCTCCATCGACAGAAATTCTTCAGGTTATATTCTCCATATAGTCCAAGTAAGTTGCAGGACACGGGTTTTTGACGAAATCGGGCTGTTTCCAAGATTCCGATCCACATGAAGGTAAGCGAGAGGAGGAGAAGGAAGATGTGAACCTGAAGTAATTAATTTACTGCCCATTATTGTTCACATTTTGAATATGTACAGATGTACAACAGTGTAATAAATTCTCATAAACTGTTACCCAAATCCAATATCCTAGACCCAACATGCTGTTTCCCGTCTTATCATTAATCCCAGCTGTTTCCTTATAGTAGCGGGCAGTGAACGCTCCGATCGTCATCAACACAAACCAGGCTAGCGTCATACTCCAGAGATGCGTTCCTTTAATTCGCTAACAAAACAAAGCAAAATCAACTAAAAACGTAGAGATCACGTGACGAAAAGTGAGATAATAACCCGAACCCGAAAATGTCTCGTTGCCTTTTTGTAGTATTGTTGAGTGAAATTGTCAGAGAATCGAGTTCCGCCGTCGCGCAAGAGTGGGCTGTTGATGTCCAATTCTTCGCCTTCCTCCAAACGATTCCTAACCAAAATTGGTTCCGTTTGGTTGGGGTTTTTGCAAAATTCAATCTGGCAAGTTGGAAAGTGGTCGTTCTTAACTTTGTTAAATTCGTCTTCTATTTCCTTTTGTGGATCTCTAATTATTGGGTACAAAAAGAGTCTTTTCATAAACTAAACAGAAGCGGTTCTAAGCTAGTTGAAAAAGTTTTGAACTTGTTTCGTACACTGGGTGTCCATTAATATCATACGCAATCGATTTGCCCTCACTGTTAAGACAAAGATCCGCGGGTGGGCAAATCATTTGTGCCTTGCGGATCAAGATCAAGTTGTTTATGTATCTATCAGTATCGTTAGATGTTAAGTTCGGTTCGTTAAACGACTCCTTCTTAGCGGCTTCTAGGGTTTCTTTGACGAAGGCTGCATTATCAGCGAAAAAATTGTTCAGAGTTTCATCATGGTCGATGCATTTGTCATATTCTCCATCATATGGAATCGGAAAGAGACTTGTCGCATCATGGTTCATTGCAACTTCATTGTGGCCTTCTGTAGCGGACGCAACTCCCTTATCGCACATCATACTTCCGTCCCAACCAAAGTCTGCCGCACTGCCAGGAATGTACGGTGGCTGCAAAATTAACATTTTTAGCATAGTGTACTAAAGCGCCACGGTGTACATACTAACTAACGCATAAAGGTTTCCAGACAATGTATAACTAACCGGACTTCCGGCAGCATTATGCTGAGTCAGGATGTAGTTAGACGAGAAAAATACGTCGTAGTCTTTCTTCTTAAAATGCCTCACAGCCATGATCCTTGAATGATAGTTACATTTGTAGGATGATAATAGTATACACGATAGAACGTGAATTTTGAATTTCAAGCCCACTAAAATTTACGCGTTAAATACTTACAGGAATTGAACTCGTGTTTTCAGATTGCAATGGACGCTTGCCCAGTTGAAGTGCATCCTGAACTCGGTTCTTTCCGGTAATTTTTCTTTTTGGCCACCATATGCGTATACATTTGGATGCTGAATCAGAAATTGTTAATTGAAAAACACTAAAAGTAGTCACAATGTTCGTTCTATCTAACCATGTCACCATTGTTGTTTCCGTGAGAATATTTGCAAGGAACGATAATGTTCCTTCGTGCTGCGTTTTGACTCAGAGTGATGTTCCTGTCGGGGTTGTACTCATTGACTGGCCATTTTAAATCAGAAAATGAACCAGCGTCGCAGTCAAAGTCGTCTCGGAATTGGCCGAAAGGAAGGCCCATCTACATAGAACAGAAGAGTTAATCAATTTTTACGAAATAGTTAATATTCACACGAGGTGAGGAGAATTGCAGAATGTAGTACCGGAAATCCAATTGCTTGGACAAACAAGCCTTGCAAGGGTACTCTTGACTTGAATATTAAATGCATCCAAAACGGCAGCTCTACTGATCCATCCGCTCCACTGAATTGAATCCCTAGTGGCGGTGGTGGACTTATTAGTTTGGTGAATTTAATCTACTCCAATGAAAGAGAAAACAGAGTCATCACAAATTCCAATAAAAAGACATGCTAATATGCTAAAAAAACTATTTCCGTACCGATCTAATATACGGCCCTTCGTCTTTTCCGTTTTCAATCTAAATATTTGAAATCGCTATAAACAATTTGCACAAATACTCTCTGAGTAAAAGATGTACTTTTGAAGTTTAACAATTGTCTTACATGTTCTATAGTGGAAATTCCAGGTGGTGTAGCCACTACGACTTTACGAGCTTGACTTTCGAGGAACAAGGTTTTGAATTCTTGAAGGTCTGGATCAACTTTATCCTTGTCAGTTAAACCGTCTTTCTCTTTCAAGGTTAAATCAATCGTAGTGAGAGTATTGAGGTCTAGTGGACCTGATGGCTCAAACTGCATCAAGTCCATGATTGGCAGATCACCAGTCACACAGAAGGGGTATCGACGAGCCATGTTATCAAGATCGAGATTAAAGTCTTTCAGGTTATGCTTTTCGGTCAGGTTCTTCAAAGTCTTGTTCAAGGTCTCCAAGTACTCTTTATACTTTCCCATTTGTTTATCCCGATACTTTAGCCACTCCTTCATACCGTCTTCGGTTTCTTCAAACCTGACTCCCTCGCCTGTCCGTGGGGGCCAATAAGCTGAAAATTGACTTTCTGACATTCTTATCCCTTGCTGTGTCCAGTCCGTCTCATTCCCCCCGTCTTCTAAAAAGTCCTCCTCTTCATGCTCATCATCGTACCAGTCGGGTTCCATTTTCGCGTGTTCGGACATGTGTTGCTTTTTCTCTTTTTTGCATTCGGCAGGCGTGAAGGCGAGGATGAGGAGGAAGATCAAGGTCAGGATCAAGGGGAGAAGGGGGAGGGGTGGAGGCTTCATGGTGAGGCGACCAGTTTTGGCTTCCTATTTCCAATACACTTTTTGATGACGGTAACTTGGATACTTGGATTTTTTAAAGATTTGGAATATTTTTAGAGTAGAAATATTGGGAAGACGTCACAGTCAGCAGTTGCAAAGAGCACACGGCGAGAGCAGAGAAAAAAGTTTTTCAGTTTTGAACTATTACAAATTTTTATACATGAAGCGACAGAGCGTTCCCGTGACAACGTCTTGGTAATTTCAGGATTTTTATTTTCATTGGAAATTGCAGTTATGTTTACGTACATACAGTTCATACAGATATGTATTTATGAGTCTGAGAGTGCGAGTGAGAGTATGAAATGCGACATTTTTGGCCAGAATGTAAAATGATTTTTCTCAAAATTATATCAGTCATTCTCTGAAGCGTCCAAAATTCAATAAAATTTTAAAGCTTTGACCTTTATAACTTTTGAATGGGTCATTTCCGCACTAAATGGTTTGGATATTATGGTTCAGCTCGTCGAACTTAAGAAAATGATATATCGTATGACCCAATACGGCACCCACGGGTGGCATACTAGAGTTTTTCCATTTCATACATGATCGCATAAATAATCACATTTATTTTGTTGCTGATTTAAAATTTGACATTTGGAAATTAAGCTATTCTGAATCATTTTAAATTAATTTAAGACCTTCTTCTTCAATTTGCTACTAGTCATCTTCGTCTCCAAATGGGTTAGGATTTTTGAAAAGGACCACAGTTCGGACGGACCATTTGTTTGTGGCACGATCAAACTCGTTCCCCTTGCGAGTTCCGTGCATTTCATGATTGAATATTTCATTTGTTCCGTGCGGCCCTCCGAGAAAACCGGTCCGAATAGTTCGCGTCGTACCGGACGGGATTCCCCCACCGGCGGAATTATTATGCCGTGATCGTGACCTGCCTTGTTCTGTTTCTCGTACTTTCTCAATATAGTGGGCATTCTCATGTTGACCTTTATGACCTCTGCCGGTTTTAGAATTGTTATGTCGACTCGTACCCTGACTTCCGAGGTAATGGGTGTGCTCGTGTTGACCTCGTTCATGCTCGTGGCGATGACGACCCTCGTCGTTGAGATAGTGCGCATTCTGATGAGACCCTCGAGTATTGTTTTTTTGATGCTTATGGGCATTCTGACCTCGCTCAAGGTAATGGGCGTGGCCGTGCTGACCCCGTTCGTGGTGAGCTTCCTGATTTATGTAGTGGGCATTTTCGTGCTGACCTCTGTCATGACTGTGACCCTGAGTTTCGGTTTCGCCGTTTATGTAGTGGGTGTGCTCGTGTTGACCTCGCTCGGGGTCGTTAACGTAGTGGGTGTGCTCGTGTTGACCTCGCTCGGGGTCATTAATATAGTGGGCGTGTTGATGTTGACCCCGCTCGGTGTCATCAATATAGTGGGCGTGCTGGTGTTGACCTCGTTCGGGGTCATTAATATAATGGGCATGTTGGTGTTGACCTCGCTCGGGGTCATTAATATAATGGGCATGTTGGTGTTGACCTCGCTCGGGGTCATTAATATAATGGGCATGTTGGTGTTGACCTCGCTCGGGGTCATTAATATAGTGGGCGTGCTGATGTTGACCTTTTTCCCCGTTGAGATAGTGAGCGTTTTGATGCGACCCTGCATTGAGGTAGTGCGCATTCCCGTGGTGACCTGCCTCTGTGCCGTTGATATAGTGAGCGTGTTGGTGTTGACCTTTTTCGCCATTCTCTAAATAGTGGGCATGCTGATGGGAGCCATGGTTTAAGTAGTGGGCATTTTGATGTGACCCTTTCCTAGTACCACCGCCACCGTCATTCAAATAGTGGGCATGCTGATGGGAACCGGTACGTGACCCGGCGTTGAGATAGTGCGCATTCTGATGGGACCCTGCACCCAAGTAGTGAGCATTTTCATGGGATCCAGCCCCCAAATAGTGAGCATTCTGGTGTGACCCTGGGTTAAGATAGTGAGCTTTTTGGTGTGACCCTGCACCCAAGTAGTGAGCATTTTCATGAGATCCAGCCCCCAAATAGTGAGCATTCTGATGTGACCCTGCCCCCAAATAATGCGCTTGTTGATGTTCTCCGCTATTGTGTAAATAGTGCGCCTTTTCATGTGATCCGGCCTCCGGATTTAAATAGTGGGCATCCTGATGTGACCCTATCACCGGAACTATTACCCCACTTGGAGTGTGTGCTTGTATCAAGGGAGTGGCTTCCTGCTCCAACGAGTGATTATTTGCATGCGCCACGGCCACCGGTTCTAGAAAACTGGACAAAATATTTTGCGCGTCCATCCCAGAAACAGATCCTGTACCTCCGCGGCCTCGTTTTGCCTGCTCTTCAATCAACTCCTCTTCCTTCCTTCGGGCTGTGAGGGCCTTCAAGTATCCACCTCGAGGGATCTGACCACCCCCACCGTGCTCCACTGGGAGAACGACGTCATCAACTTTGTGCCGGATTATGTCCGGATTTCCAGTCATTTCTGCAATGTCCTCGGCCAAATGACCAGTCTGTTAAAGACCATTAATTTCATTAATTTCAATCATTTGTGTTGTTATTATTTCAACTTTAATACCTGACCGTGATGACCAGATCCTGCGAATGACAAAAATTGGAATTAGAATGCACAATAGAATTTCTTTAACTTGAAATTGAAATGAATTTATATTTAAATTTCCAACTTACATGCGACTTACAACATTGAAGCCATTAATTCTCCGATGTAATAATACATAATTTTAAAAACAGGTTGAATTATTTTTGTGTATGACTGGCAAACGCCCATAATATTTATTATTCGTCTTCCGTCTCATTTTCTTACAAAAATTTCAGTTTACCAAAACAATTTAAAGGTTGAATGGTGGTGTAGAGTAAGACTGCCAATATCGTAAGTCACACGTAAGTTGGAGGTCAGGGGTCAGGGTCTTCTGATTAAATTGAACCAATTCTAAAGTTATGTCATGTCATCATCCTCAATCTAAATTTAAGCTTGACCAACCTGATCCAAACGAGTCGGCAAACAGTTTTTTCGGTTTGGGAGGCTTCTTATTCCGAACGATCGCCACGGTGGCGTGGTGTGCTCTGTGACCATGCTTTCCCATCGCCTCGTCTGCAATGTTGCCCACATTATCGGGGTCCTTCTTATGGTCGACGTGCATCTCGCCGAGTATTTTGCCTCCCAGTGCTCTTTCCTGAGCGTGAAGCATATGGTTGGCTGAATGGGGTTTGGATACGACCATGGGGGGAGGAGGACCCCCACCGGATGCTCCTCGCATCATGGTTCGACGAGAGACTCGCATCGACTGCTGGGCTCCGGGTGGGGCTTGGTAGTTGTACGTGTTGCGACTTGATCCAGAACCGATGCGATTCGACGCACCCATCGGTCTGATTAATTGAACAATTTTAATTAATAACGAGTTTTAGTTGTTAGAATATTTTTGGGGGGTACCGTGATCCAGCGTCGAAAGGACCTGCAGCGGATAGCATGGCTAATGTGGCGTCACGTGGAGGACCGCCGCTGCCGCCCGGGACGCCACCTGAATATACGTTAAGGTCAATATGAAATCAGTAGATCGATATGAGACAAAATATTATTTTCTTTATTTCGACAAAATATTTATATTTCCGAAGGGAACAAAGCATGAAATATTCTAGATTCGTGTATGCAAATTTTACCGCTGGCATAGCGTGCCCTCGCAACACTGGCTCGATTGGTTCGATAACTCCATTTACTTTGTTTCGATTTCGAGGGTGGGGTTGGATTTGAAGGGGCCTCCGACATAATATTTTATTGTCTTATCCACAGATTACGATTAGTTGTCAACATCATTGAGTTGCAGTGTCATTTTAATTGGAATTTAGCATAAGTTTAGTACGACGCAGAAAACAAAATAAATTGAAATGATGGAAAAGCAGGGCGAAATATTGTGCAGAACTTTATAACTACAGGGTGGTTAAAATGTCACGCTATAATGGAAAATTTTTCGATGGGAAAAATCCACAAATTTCCATTAGTTACCGAAATTTTGTCTCTAAAATGCAACATTTTAAGAATTTTGTCATCAGTTTTGATAATAATTTATAAAAATCTCAATCCCAAATCTTGTAACTAATGGAGATTTTGGGACTTTTCCCATTGAAAAATTTTCCATTGTGGCGTGACATTTTAACCACCCTGTATGTATTTCATGAGATGTGACCTTAGTGATGATGATCTTATCAATAATTTTGCTGTCTGTCTGGCGCGGTAAGGTTCACAACTTTGATTGATTTCGTACTTTTAGATGTAAAATGTTGTAGAATACTCAATCCTGAAAATTACTACCTACTTGATTAGCTTCATTACCTGCCGTCGTTGGCACTCCGGCCAGTCCCATCTGACCCGATCCTGGCGGAGGTGGGACGCCATTTATCGTTTGCATCGTCCCCGGAGGAACACCAACACCAACGCCACCCATCCCACTCGCCCCACCCCCTCCACTTCCCCCTGCCGTCTTTTGCGTCCCATTACTCGCCACTAGTCCTGGATAATATCCCGTCGGCATATTTGTCGGCGTCCGATAACTTCCACTGCCACTACCTCCTCCCATGTAGGACGGACCCCTCGATCCACTCCCACCACCACCCATGTAAGACGGACCTCTCGACCCGCCTTGAAGATACTCTCCTCCACCTCCTCCCCCCGGGTAGAAGCCAGACCCAGAATTTGGACCCTCACCATAATACCCCGACGCCCCCGTCACAACCGACGTACTGCTCTCAGGCTCCAGAACGATCAGATTGGACACCTCGTCCTCCGGAATTACGATCACTTCCTTCTCCAACCAGTAGAAAAAAGAGTACCCCGCAAAACACGCGGCCGCTAGAGCCGCCAGAGTTTGCAGGATCATCAGTCCGGCATAAGTTGCCAATTGGATGTGGAGCTCTTCCAGTATTTTGCGACCACACCCCATCGGAATTGTGGGCGGGGTGAGGTGACACTTTCCGGTGGAGGGGTTTTGCCGAAATCCATAGTCAAGACTTTGAAATCCTCCCCCTCCACCACCACCCCCCATTCCGGATCGAAGTTGTACCATGAGCCAATCATCCGGACCGTACACACCGCAACAGCCGTTCTATTTTTGATGAAAATTAAATATCAGCATGATTTAAAGTTATGAGTTGATGCTCTTACCTCGCGTTGATACCGTTCAAAATGCCCTACAAATTTTGTATCCTGATTATACTTGGAGAAAGTCTCGTACAAGGAGGCCATCTCTTCTTGCGGTTCTTTTCCTCTGACGATGGCGAAAATAGCGACGCCCAAGTCAAGCAAGGCAAACACGCTCCACATGAACATCCACTAAATTACGAGACAATTTAGGACAAATTTGAGGTTTTTATATGAAAAAATAGAATTATACCATGATGAACTTTCGACGAACGGAGTGATCCATTTGATAGTTGTTTCGCCAGTTGATAAAGGAGACGTAGTAGGCGAGGAAGGAGGACGAGATGAAGCAGACTTGGACGATAATTATGATAATGTAGATGCCCAGGGTGCCGTTGTAATATGGGTCCGAATCCATGGCCTTTGTGTGGGAGGCGTTTGTACACATCGAAACGATCACTGCGGCGAAGGTCACTGCCATCAAGACCGTGATCGATACACAGAGGATCGCACTGAGGCGAAACCATCGCATCGTATAAAATGATTGATTTTGAATTTAGGTTTTATATATAGTTTGGTTCAATAGCATGATTATTATAATTATGTTTGACTGTGTGTTTGCGTTAAAAATGGCATTTTCATAATTTAAATGTGCAAAATTTTTAATTGGTTCGATTTGATTTTTAAATTTTGCTGGTTTATGACAGGATTCTTCAATCACTAACGGCTACGCCGGTGTTTCTGGGTTCGGCCGTAACTCGGAAAAAATGGAAATTTTCATTTTTTGAAAAGCTGGATTATAATATCCAGCCTTGTGTATCCATGTGTCTGTCTGTCTGTCTGTACATAAATTCCACAAATTCATACTTTTACGTAAACTGCTTGTGCGGCACATTAGAACGTAGAAATTAAATAATAAATTAAAATACAAAATAAAAATCTACAGTGCGTGCAGGAAGACTCCATATAGCCGAGTCAGGGACAGAGTCCATTGAGTCAGAGTTCTAAATTTTTCTCCGAATTGACCGACATAATATTACCAAACTCCTTGTTGTGGATAGCTAAATGTTTGTTAGATTTTCTATTATTTGGCATAAAAATCTTTAACATCTTGAACTTCCAAAGCTGGGTGTGCTATCCAGAAGTGGTTTTTATCCCCATATCAAATTTCAGATGAAATAATAACGTTTCAAAACGGTATGGGTCAGCCTCCAGGGTCACTCTGGTTGCACTTTTAACTTTATATTCATTCATAAGAAGCCATTAAGTATCACCATGCCGGATTTCATGTTTTTACAGCAATTTGGATGGGTCACCCGTCACCCCATAGAGTCGCTCCAGATAAAAAATTTACCAATTTCATTCCATATTCTTCCATTAAGGATAAGTCACGTAAGCAACATTTCAGCTCGATATGACGATTTTGAGAAATCAGTATTCCAATGCTAGATATCCAATCTACGTTGGGCATGATTGGTCAAGTGGTTGGTCAGTGGGGGTCATTTAACTAACAATGCCAGCGGTCTCGCTCCGATTTTGACGAAACCACGAAAATTATGTAGCATTAGATAAATCATTAAAAACGTGTTTCAGGATTTTTCATAATACTCAGTTTAAAAGAAATTTTGACTAAGTCAGCGAGAATTTTCATTTTTACCGTGAAATTTTTCTCACGAGGGGAGGGAGGAAAGTACAGATTCTCATATTCCATCATACATAATTTTGTTTAAGCTTAAAATTTGTGGGCGTGACGTGTTTTTCCCTCGCACAAATTTTTAAATTATGATCAATTTTCAAAATTTTGAAAAATGTAACAAACCAGAAATTTTTGAAAAATTAAAAGGTTTTGAAAAGATGATTTTTCTTTTGCACAATGTAATTGTGTGCAGAAAGGTTCTTTCATTTTTGAAGTCGGGTCAAAATTGGAAAAATTTACAGCGCTATTTAAAGAAATCTTGACTTCGGCTGATTTTTGTCCAACTGAAGACTTACACTAATTTCCTTGTGTGAACAATTTAAAATTGGTCCGGTCAAAAGCGAAAAAAACACTTCATGCCCACGCATTTTAAGTTTAATTCTGATGGAATCCGTAAGCGAGAATCTATATTTATCTCCATCGCGAGAAAAATGTCACGCAAAAATGGAAATTCTCGCTCACGGCCTTAAAAGGCCTAAAACTGAAGCACGTACAGATTTTGGTAAAAATGTTAACACGTTGCCTCGAATCTCGAAAGAATAATAAATAAAAATGTGTACGTAAAAATATTTTTATGCAAAATAGAGTAATTAGTCATCAATTAAAAACAGGAAAATAATTTTAAAAAATTTTCGTCGAGAGTAAATGGTCCAATTCATCCTCAGAATAATCAGAATACAATAAAATATGTAGTGCACTTGATATCGAATTTATCGTTAACTACTACTCCCCTGACTCGGGCTTCATGGTCAGTGCTTGGCAAAATCCACCAAATTAGCAAATAATTAAAAATTTATTCGTTGACTGAGTTACGGCCGCACCCTAAGAGGAAACGAATTGATTCATCCTGGGTTTATGATTTTGTTATCGTGTTTGAATTACTGTTACTACGGGTTAAATTGATAAACCTGGATAAGATTACTACTTAATTTATGATACATCCTTTATGAAAGATAATCAACTCGGTTCGGATGATTTTCATATAAATTGATGATGCTATTATCTTAATGCTGATATTTTAATGCTATGTTCAACTAAATTTTACAAAAATCTCATGATTGTTGTTTGCATGCATTCAGTTCCTTAAAACGTGAGCAGGTGTTCAGAATTTGATTACCATTTTCTTAGTGTCTCTTATCAGTTCAAAAACCTAAAATAAACTGGAACCATACATTGGCTTGGCTTGGCTTGGCTTGGCTTGCCTGGAGGTCTCTAAATTCGAGACAACCTCAGTTCTTTGCTCACTCACTTCTCAGCAGTCGAATTGTCAGTTTCTTTGCCCTTCACATAATGCTCTCTCCCTCCAGGTTTTTTGGCAGGTACGTGTCATACAAAATTGTTTGTTTGGAAATTTATTTTTCAAAAAGTTGTCACAAAATTTTTAAAAATCTATCAGCAAAACTTAGGTAGAACTTTATTATTTGTGTTTTACGAATGTCGTAACTTTTTGCTGAAACTTTAAATTCGAGCGAGCAACAGACAAACATTAGGACTCTAACTAATCCTAATTTCTTGTAGGTATTGACAGTTTTTAAAAATTTTACTTGTTTGCAGAGTGAAATCAGGTCGTGTAACAAACAAGAACATGACTCGTCGCAGGTTAGTCTCAGGGATGCGAAAAGGGGGAGTTGTCCGCAAAAATGGACAAGTTATTGAAGTAGGTGATCCTAGCACCAGCGTCTTGGTAGCATCGCTCCCTTCTCCTCCTCGTCTACCTCAAACCGCTACCATCCCAGCTTCAGTCGACTTGGACCCCGATGTTCAGAGCACTCATGAAATCGTCGATTCAGATAGAGGAAACCAACTCTTGGGCAGTGATGTCGGAAGCGGGAGCAGTAGCGTTTCAACAGCACTGCTTAGCAGTACATCCACTTCAGGTAATTGTAATTTTATTAATTAATTAATTGTTGAATTAGAAATTCTAATTTAGAGTTAGGAAAATACTTTAATGACATCATTTTTGTTCAGGAATTGCCAGCAACAAGAGGAGGAAGCTGGACGCCCAGTTCGAACAAGAGTTGGACAAATTCTTTCCCCAAATTTCAAGTCAAAACTCAATGGATTCTTCGACCTCGTTTTCGTCGTTATCGGAGGAGTGGACGAGTGATAGCTCATCGCCAGGATCGGTGGGTGATCGTCGTAGCCTTCCCAGAGGAGTCAGCCTCATTCCCTTGCTCGAAGAGCCCACGTCCGGCAACACCTTCAACTTATCAAGCTCCACGTGCGACTTCATTATCGACGTGATGAAGACTAAAGTAAGCGACACTGCGACTCGTCTCGGGGAGCAGCTCAAAATTCCGGTCAACATTGTTCGAGGGGTGTGGAATTCAAAAGATGTTCTTTCAAGGGAACTTGCAAACCGTCAAGCCGGAAGGGTTTTGTTTGAAGCGGAGAAAAAAGCATAAAATTGTGATTCTTTTTAAAGTCTGAGCAAAATGATCAAATGAACTAACCATTTCCTAGATAATGAATTAGATAATGACAGGTATACGCTAAGCTAAAACGTACGAAATATAATAATAATACAGCTATGTACAACTAACTAATAATATGTATTCATGTTCGCCACGCCAATTTTCAATAAATAGACCCAACGTCAATAACGAATTAAACTTAACAAATATTTATGTATTTTGCTTTTGAACAAAACGTGTAATGTAAGAAACAAATGAGCTAATAAAATAGCACTTGTACATAATTTTGAAATTCGAGAATGGAATTGCTAATAATTTTTTAACAATACAAATTTGAAAAATTCTCGAAAACAAATAATCATAGATTAATATATTGTATATTCACACGCGAAGAATAACGGCGACATACTTGCATCTTCTTATTTATTATTTGACTTCAAAACACCGTCTTCATCTTGCGAAGCATATTTTATCGTCATCTTGTACCTTAACCATTCAGCGACGATCGTTATGCCGATGACGATTCTTGTCTTGTGACCTAGACCTAGATCGTGACCTTCTCCTCTCATCGCGATCCCTCTTTCGTTTCGGAGATCGTGAACGCGAACTTCGGCGTTTACTGTGTTTCCTATCGTCCGATGAACGAGATCGTGATCGTGACCGAGATCGGTGCCGTCTTCCTGACGAGCTGGAAGAAGAATTTCCACCTTCTCTACCACCACGGCTTCTTTCTGGAGGCGAGTCTCTATTATCCCTGTATCTAAGAGAGAGTAAAAACAACGAGCAGAATTAGATTACCTCGAATTATTCATAAAAATTGGCGTTCTACGTCTGCTGAGTGGTTTTTACTCGATATAGATAGTATTTCTCCTTCTTGGGCCATCTCTCTCGTCGACGTAATCGACCCCGACCCATTAGAGAGAGAGAGAGAATATGGTGTTGGGCATTTTTATCCACCCACTTGACAAATAATTTGCATTGCACTGAATACAGTAAAGAATTGATTAAGCATTTTTTGTTGGAATGATACTAAATACCTCACAATAATCAATTTTTGTTAATTAATTCAGAAAATCAAAAAATAATTACTTTTGTTGCTCACGTCACTTTTTATAATCAGAGTATGCCTCCTTTAAATTTCGGTCGTTCATTCTATACTCACCTCGAAGTGGACTCTTCATATCTATTATATCCACCCCCGGAGGAGGATGACTGATCAACAAAATTCGCCACACTAGGTTTTGGCGTGGGATCGACTGATGTCGCATGTCGCAATGCGGCAAGTTTCTTATCAATCTGAATTTGGATTGGGACAGGAATTCGGGGAAAGAGGGTGGAAAACCAATCCTGTCGGGTGATCAAATGACGCACAATTTCCCCAATTGTCATAATTTGTCCACCTCCCGCACGAGCGTCAACTTCTTCAGGGTCATCGATATAGGGTTCAAACCATTCCCAAAAATCGGTGGGTGGTTGTGAAAACCTAGATACAAATAAAATGATATTATTAATCATAGTTCTTGGCAAAGATTAGAAGTGGGTCACCCAATTAAACAACGATTGCTTGATATTTAGTATCTAAGGAGGGATGTATTTTAGGGGAACTAACTAGGCACAACTAAATGTCAAGCAATTGTGCAATTAAACGTACCTTACGTATAAAAAGCCAATTCCTCGAATGTGTGGCGAATCTACGTGATTGAGAAGACCATACAATTGTTTCCTCGTGAGCCGTACGGCATAAAGACGGAAAAGAATGCAGAAGGCGGAAGAAATTATGCCCCCAACACCAACGCCACGAACACCGCCACACATCCCAGTTTGACGACGTCCACCAGCATTTCGTGATCCCTGACAGGCATAATTTCATTAATTCCTTGCATTTATATTCAGTTTATTCTATTTTCCTCTTACCTTCTCCCACGGCTCTAAATGTTTCACCTTGTAATAAATCTCGTCAACTAATTCATGATAAGTTTTAAGTTCCGAAAGTCTTCCTGTATAATATGGCGAACTTTCTATATTTGTGTGAATCAAGGGGTTTAAGTTCATTGTGGTTGTATTTCCCCATGTTGGCAGCGTATTGGGTTTCTTAATCATCATCATATCACCTCCAGTCCCGTCGCCAGAACCCATTCCGACCTGCATCGACATATGGGGCGTCATCTTCTTGGAGGTTGGATCGTAATTCATTCTGATGATTCTTTGATGACCCAAAAAATAACGATCAAACCGTAAAAGTTTCTGTAATTAACGAACAATTAATTAGCTTACTAACTCTTAACGTGAACGTCCAACTTAACAAGTTTGGCAGACTCCTATTTCTTCAAAAACTTACCTATTTGCTTCAAAGACCCACAAAGAATTCAAAAATTGTGATCAATTTTTAACGTGTAGTGTAGTTAATAATTAATTAACTTTGCAATATAACTGCTTTTTTGAGGATCAGATCAACGTCAACGTCTCTTTTTGAGAAAGCGTAGCATTTAAAAACAGAGGCAATTTCGGTCAGGATTTAGCCAGCAATCTCACCTGACCCCATAATTTTGGCGGACGGAGGGCGATTTTGTTTACATATTATGCAGGCAAAGCAGCGATCGTTACAAGTTTGTTAGATTTAATTATTCATTTAAATAATGGATAAAAATGCCAACTTGATAAGAAACTCAAGTTCCGCTAACAATACAAACACAAGGCGAGATTGGTGGCGCATCATAAGCTATATTGTTTCGTTGTGTTTAATTATTTGGGGCTTTGGGACTACCATATACACGTTATTTATTATCTACCGTGAACGTGAATTAAGTAAGTATGAAGTATATTTATATTGAGTTTATGTTAAGCAATTAGTTTGAAGTCAAATAATAAACCTACAGTGCAGACTTGATATAGCCCGAGTCAGGCCAATTCTTAATTTTTCTCTGACTTGACCGACATAATATTACGAAGCTCTTTAGTGTGAAATTCGCACTGTGAATGGGTAAATGTTTGTTGGATATTTTCTATTACGTGGCACCAAATTTTTGAAGTATTTACAAATCCCCTTATCTACCAGGACCAGAGGGTTCTTTAACTTCCAAATCCAGAAGTGGTTTTTAGCCTACATACCCAATTTTAGATGAAATTAGCAACTTTTAAAAACGGTATTGGTCACCCTCCACTCCTGGTTGCACTTTGGTCACTTTTAACTTCGTATTGTTTCATGAGGAGCCTTTAAGTATCATAGTGCCGGATTTCATTTTTTTAAAGCAATTTCTGAAAATCGGTATGGGTCACCACATAAAAATTTACCAATTTCATCATATTCTTTCATCAGGACCCGCATAAGCAACCTCTCTACAAAATTTCAGCTCGATATGACGATTTCGAAAAATCAGTATGGGTCACCCCTTATTTTTTTCTGTTAGGAGCCATTAGCAACATATGTACCAAATTTGGACTTTCTACTACAATTTTGAAATTTTAGTGCATAGTACCCCACCCACCTATATGACCCCCATCGCCCAACTTAACTCCTCATTGCATTTGACCCATACTACATATGTGCACAATTTAAAGTCGATCGGATTAGTTTTACGACAGTTATCGCAAGACAGACAGACGTGACGGGTACACAGGCCCTGACTCGGGCTCATCTCGGGCTAAAAGGCGGCCATCATTAGGTTCCATGTAAAAAAACTGTTTATTTGTACAGCGGACACACAGCCACTCACCAAGGACGACTTGAAGGAATTTGTAGACAAAATTTTAGAAGCTATTAAAAATACTCGTGGTAAGATTTCAGAAAACTTCTAAAAATTTATTACGCATCCATCAGAAAGTAAGCAGAACATCACCTATATTTTTAGAAAATACCACCAATATTATCTCCAAACTCCCATACAACATTACGGGTAAGATTTCAGAAAATATGTAAAAATATAACTTGTTCTTTAATATTTTTTAACCAGTTCCAGATGGCTCCGAGTAAGAAGATAAATCCTACCACAACTCGTGTAAATTATAGAGAGGATGCCGAACTGACGGAAAAAGTGATCTCTGCGTCGTCCAAAGGAGACCTTGAAGAAATTTCAGTCGTGTTACATATTCTGGAGAAAAGACAGTCCGAGATTGAAAAGGGAGGTGCTAATATTATTGTTCCAAAATCAGTTCAAGTCAAATTGTGGAATCAGCAAGCTGTTCTTCGGTTTCAATTCTTAAAAGTTGCTCAAGATGTCATCACAGATAAAGACAAGGAAGTCAGTGAGGACTTTATTCAACGTAGTTTTGTCAATTTCGACATCCTTCTCGACCTACCCAATAAACTCGGAGACATTGGAGATAATAAAATTTCTGAACTTTATGCTCGTTTAAGTAAGATTTTTGACAACGAATAGTTTAAGTCAGAGCTGGATTTAATTGATTTGTGTTTCTCTTAGGTTATTTAGCATGTCAAATAGGATTTCGTCTGCAAAAGCGAAAAATGTATTTGGAATCTCTAAGTTGGTGTGATCGAGCAATATTGGCGCATGATGTTTGGAAATCGACCGGTAGCCAGGTTTCTGATGTTAAGGTTGTGTAAATAAATAAATTCGTGGTTGTGTGTGCTTATCAATAATTGTATTGATGTTATCTTTTAGATGAATACTCGATGGTTGGCGTTATTAAAGGCAGAATGCCTTCGAGTCTTAGAGAGGGCGGAAGAAGGTCTAAAATGGTTATCACAAGAACTCGCTACCGACCCCACGTACTGGGAACGACCCACTGTTTGCTATGATCTTTTCGAACAGATTCCATGGACAGAAATTAGCACTCATTGGGTCACTCTATACAAAGAAATGTGCACAATTAATCCACAATATGTAAGAATTCTAGTCTGTCTATCACACAAGTTTGTGTTGAGTAATCATTCTAATTTATAATTTTGTTTTGTTTCAGAATAAATGCTCCTTAGATTTCTTGGAAGAAGGTGATCCAATTTCAATAAGCCAAGAAACGATCTCGAGAGTACTAAGATTGGAATTAAACAGTCATTTCTCCGCACGGTCAGTTTTTTTACAACTCAAAAAGGGACAGAGATATAATAAAATTAATAATATACTGATTAATAACAATTGTGTTGTAGACATGGGATTCCATCCGCAATGGTGGCGATTGGTGAAGCACTTGTTGAACGAAGTTTTTGTCATTTTGATAATGTTTTGGGATATGTGGCGATGGCTTCAGGATATTATTTTGGAACTCCGGATGATGTAGATTATGCCTTAAAATTGGTACATGATGCTGTAGAATTAATTGAGTCGGATGATTTCTTTAGGGTAATCTATTTGTTTTTTATTGGCTTTGTTGATTTATTTTTACATTATAATATAACTTTTTGTAACATTTTAGAGGGAGAGAAATGCAGATTCGACGGCCTTCTTGAGTGGGTTGGTTTCCATCTGGCGTGGTTTATGCTTGCTAAAAACCCATCAATATTTTGCAGAGGTGGCTATTATTATTATTGTATTGCATTTCTTGCTTTCTTTATACTAAATACTCTATAAAATTATTCGTTTGGATTTTTTAGGCAGAAATGTCTCACTTGAAGGAACAGTTTGTTGCTGAGAATCAAGATAAATTCAAAGATCGAGATACTGGTGAAGAAATTCGAGGCGTTTCTGGGTTATCCATGCTTAATTTGGACCATGAAAGAGATTGGGTGTGCAGTTTGGTTCATGGAATTGAAATTTTCTTCAGGTTTTCTGAGTCTGAGGTTATAATATTAATTCCAATTGATAAGATTTGCCTACCACGATCGGGTTTTTGACTTGCTATTTTAATTATTTAGCTAGTTCTCAAGAAATTTTCTAACGAATTTTGTCCATCCGTGATTCTGATGAGTTGCCGACTAGCTGCTTCTCTCCTCATTGCTGTTGGGGACCTTTTGACTGGTACCAAGGCTTGGTACGTTGTGAATAAATTGGCTAAAATCTACGACAAGAAGGGCATCATGATTTTGAGTAAGTCGTTTACATGATAATTAATTGTACTTGGGACTAGTCTTCTTATCGAATCTTTTGAATTACAACAACTTATGATGTCCTTCCAGGTGCTTCCGAAATTGTAAAAGTCATTCCCGATCTCGATTGTGAAATAGTAACACTTGCGGATAAAGTGAACGCTGAGTGCGACTCACAAGACCTCATTAAACACAATAGAGCTGCCCATTATCGATTAAGTTTGGCAAAATCAATTGCTTGCTATAATTTAGGACAGGTACACATGTATATCAACTAAATTCTTTGAGGGCCAGTTCAATACAATTGAGTATACTACTTAATGTTTTTTTTTTAATTTGTATTAGTATGAACAAGGTGTCGCCCATTTGTTGCACGTCTTCCAATATTTTGAAACCAAAGATAACTTTGATGCGACCCACCATCTCATGGGAGAAGCAACCTACGTCCTCTGTTGGTATCGAACTATTCAATTTTCGCACAAAATTGATTTGTCTGCATTTCCTCAGTCTTTGGTGAAAATGAGTCCAGCCGGAATTGCGACAAAGGCCTTTAAAACCCTCGGTGGAATGAGTAGAGATCCAGACTTTACGAATTCAGGTAATATCAATATGATCAAGCAACCTCCTGCGGACGTTCAATTACAAATGCTTTTTCGTTCGGTATAGGATGGACTGATCTGATTCATAATTTTTTCCTATTGAGCTGTCTCTTTGAAGTTGGAACTTACACTATGAAGGTCCTTCGTGAGTCAGGAAAGACTAGAGAACTGAGATGCTTCATAAGTGATTTGGTCAATTTTACGCAGCATGCAGGATTTGTTAGTCGGTAATTGGCAATTTAATTTGACCATTGTGGTCTATGTATGACTAATTGATAATCACTTCTTTTATAAATCTGTAGCTCTCTTGGACTTATCGTGCCTATGATAACTCTCGACATAACGTCCAGGTATTATAGTTAATAGTGAAAATTAATATGTAATATATAAATACCAAGTAAAATTTAAACTCTTTCAGGAATTTTATGCACGCTCAAATGAAGATTGACGCGGTCAACCAAGTTTTGAACAACAGCATATGTCCGGAAGAAATTGAGGACGGCGATACTGCCAACTATCAGAAAATTATGGACAATATGAAACTCCCGATAACCTTGCAAAGAATGGAATGCATGAATGACTTGAAATGGGTCATGAAATCTCTCGACATCCCGAGTTTATATTACAGAAACCGTAGTGAGAAAGTTATAGCTGCCATGAAGACTGACTTGCGACCAGAATTTAACAACACACAGTTTCAATTTCCTGAGTGGATGCGTCATAATTTGTCCTGTTCTTGTTACGTTTGCAGCCACCCATTAATTCTTCCGATCGCTTTCGAATTTATACATTCTCAGGTTGGTGATGATAATCCCAGATTATCCTGAATGCATGGCTAACATACAATTAATAATTCATATTTGTTTTGCAGGCTAAATATTTAAACTGTTTGCCTAAAGCCAAGTCTGCTATGGCTGTGTTGGAGACAACCAAACTCTACCATGAGCGGGCCATTTTTCGCCTAATTTATAATCTCAGCCTTATGTGTGTTCCTCTTGTAGTGATTGCAAGCAAAAAGTGGACGCTGAAAGCGGTTGAAAATATTTACACTCCATTCTGCGTTGGTCCTGGATTAGATTCTCTCATGACGCAGATGATGATATGTCCCGTGACTGATATCAAAATGATTTTAAACGCCATGAAGAAAGCGAAGCTCATAATTGAAACAATTGATCCAAAAGATTATATTGGAAAATCGTTCCCTCTAGAAATGGGATATTCTGCCTTGTACAAGTATTTTGTGTCATCTGGTGACATTAAAGTGAAAGGTAAGCTATTGAATTTATTTACCTAATAATCAAAAATCTCCATAAATGTTGTTCACTTTAAAAATACAAATTTTTCTCCAAAGGATCCGAAATACGGGACATTATTGAGAAGAAGTTAAACTCTCAAGCAGAGGACAACAAAATAAATTGCCATTCTCCTGCTAAGTTTGAAGGGCCTTTATTAGATATGGCACCACCTCCTCCAAAGAAGGGAATCTTAAAAGTAACTGCAAAACGGGCACCAAGAATAAAAGAAGAATTGATTGATGACTGTCCCGTCGTACACGTCCCATTTTTAAAATTTGAACCTGAGGATGAAGATTCAGAACCAAAAAGCTCCTCATCGTGTTCATCAGCTTCAAGTCTTTCAGTGCCTTCCGATAAAATTGTTAAAGAAAACGCTCAAAAAGTGAAATGTGAACCTGCTCAAACAAAAACTCTACGATCTCAAAAGACTGCCCCTTCTGGAGTTACGGAACGCCGTCCACGTCGTGGAGCTACTGCCAACAAATAATTACGTAATACAATACAGTAATAGTGCAAAAAAATTACTGCCAGTAGTCTCTCTAAAGTCTATATATGATGAATATAAATTTTAAGCCTACTTATTTTATCTATCCATTCTAGAAAGACTCCTTTTCTGTAGTGAAACGACATTTTCTTAAACTGTACACATTTAAACAATTTCTTACTGTATTATTAGTTTTAAGTACTTTTCATTTTGCGAGTTGGTGTTCCTATACACTCGCTCTAGTAAGTTACGCATAATAATTAATCAAAATTCCTTGAATTGTTCTCTTGTACAGCACATCATGTAAGTGATCAATAATAAATTTAACACTATTTATAAAATGTAACATTATTATCTCGACCCTTATCATTTTAATCATCCAATAGCCAACTTTCTCCGAAAACCACACACACAACTTTCCTCTCTGCCCACCCAGCCACGAGGGGAAAAGACCGAGTTGTAAGTCCGGGAAAAGTGGAAATTATTTCTTACATGAACTATGTACATACAACCATCAAGCTATCATACATATGCCAACTTATTAAGTAGTAAATGACTCCCGACAACACATTATTATTAGTAGTGTTACAGTATATGTAAGTAAGAAGAAGAACACACTTGGTGGCAATGCATCATCGCCCAATAATAATATCCATCATTATTATTACAACCCAAGTTTCTAGGTGGGTTGTTATTAAGCGGCAAGCAACATTGATTCATTTCATTCATGTTGTAACTTACCGTGCTATGTTGTGTCTGCTGCTTAATATTAAAAAAAGGGTTAGGCTTCATCATCATGAGTCCAAACTTTTTTAGCTGAGCTCAACTTTTATGTAGCTGTTAAACGACGAATGCAATACTGTAGTGACGGTCGGTCCGTACTATTTTGTGCCTCTCTGTTAATGTGGATGCCTTAAAGACTACTTTTACAACGAACAAACCAACCTAATACGAGCAATAGCAATAGCAATTCTACAACTAAACTAAACTACATTTGCATTCGTTCACTCATTATTATTAGTGTTGGACTGGACTGGCTGGAGAATTAATCTGTTTCTGTGTGCAGTGGTGGAGAAGATAAATAAATAGAGAGAAATTATTTCACAGCAAAATCTGTGGGTTTAGGAGAGAGATTGAGATTTTTTCAAGTAAAAGATAATTTGAAGACTTGAAGAGAATTTGTGGATCTTTTATTGTGTAATCTTGTCCAGTGATTGATTATAGTAAAAAAAACGGAGGATTTATATTATTGGATTCGTGAATAAGGTAATGAACTTGATTTTCAGGTTTTAAAATATTTTGTACTACGGATTGAGTAAAGTAGCAAGAATTACATTTTTTGCGTGTTGGGCAAGTTTTGTCAACATTGTACGTGCGAAATGAATGCAAATTTGACTTTGTAAAAATAGACTAACCATAATTTTTATTAATCAGAAACTATGTAGGAAAAATAAGTCATATTCAGCTGCATTAGAGGAAATACGGTGGTGGTAAATATGTGGTTCAATCGAATTGATTAATTTAGTTTAGCTTATGGCATCAATTAATTAAACATGAAATGCCCAATGGTTTGTTGAATCAATAGTACATCAATATTCTTCAACTATGTAATACACTTGCATTCCTCCATGTATGTAAAACTAATACGCAAAATTTGTTGTCTGCATGACCAGTGCATGAGGATAATAGGAAGGAATTAATGTACATATATGCATATGTATAAATTGTGCTATGTTGGACAATATCCATAACTTTACTCGCTTTATTTAATTGATTGGGTTAAGAAAAGGAAATAATAGACGAGGAGTATACATAACTTTAGTCTCTCTAATTTGATGGGTAGTTGGTTTCGTAGATAAATGGCTGATAAATACCATGTCCATTTAACTAATCATCAAGCTAATTAATAACTTTGGCTGACTGACGTATTTATTCTCCGGCCTGTAATGTAAAGTTAATCTAAATATCCTGCTGGACCAGGATAAATTGTGTGTTGAGACAAGATAACCAACCATGACCAGTTTACTAGGAATTGCTAATTACGGCAGTAGTGCTTATACAAAAGGTATACATATAATTAAGTATTATTTTGTTCGGGTTATCTATATTTGCTTATCAAGATCAATAATAACCAATGTTGGGGGATGTATTGTGCGTATACATTTATTGATTCTTGCGTATTTGTTCGGCAGTTTAGTCATTCATTAAACAGATTCGATACAAAATACTGGAATCAAGAACAACTCGCCGTTTTTGATAACAGCTTAACTCTGTCTACTATTTATTGTTCTATGCAATTTTCAAAATTGCATAGAAAAAAACCTACAGTGCAGACTCCATATAGCCCGAGTCAGGGACAGAGTCCCTGACTCCGTGAGTCCTAGCTGTTTCTAAATTTTTCTCCGAATTGACCGACATAATATTACCACTTTGAACTTCCACAGCTATATTTGCTATCAAGAAGTGTTCTTTAGCCTTCGTACCAAATTTCAGATGGAAAAAATTAAACTTAAAAAATGGTATGGGTTACCCTCCAGGGTCACTCTGGTTAAAATTCGCTCACTTTTAACTTCATATCCTTTCATGAGAAGCCATTAGGTATGACCTTGCCGGATTTAATGTTTTTAAAGTAATTTCTAAAAATCGGTATGGGTCACCCCATAGGGTCGCTCCTGATAAGAATTTTACCAATTCCACGTCATATTCTTCTATTAAGACCCATTAGCAACCTCTCTACCAAATTTCAGCTTGTTATGACGATTTTGAAAAATCAGTATGGGTCATCCCATAGGGTCCCTCAAGATGAAAATTTTTCCAACTTAAAGCCATTTTTATCTATTAGGAGCCATTAGCAACCTCTGTACCAGATTTCAGCTTTCTACGACAACTTTGAAATTTTGGTGCACGAGACCCCACCCACTCCGATGACCCCCACCGGTCAACCACTTGACCGATTTTGCCCATCTTCGAACTCGTTTCCTAACTTTGTCCAATATGCACATGGTAAAAATTTCAAGTCAATCGGTTCAGCCGTTTTGGCTCTATCGTGCCGGACAGACGGACGGACGGACGGACGGACATGACGGTTCCATAAGCCCTGACTCGGGCTAAAAAGTGACATTTTACGATAACTTAGCCATTTCTCAACCGATTTTGATGAAATTTTGCACCGGTCATTCTGACTCAATTCGAAAACGATTTGCTATTGGACTTAGCGATTGATTGATTTTTACCCGACTTATTAACGAAAATGTACTCCTGGTAACACATTTTGATTTTTAACTAATTACTGGAGAATCAGGGGTAGTTTTCTGATGGCAAAATTTTAGATAAACTCACTCTGGATTTTTTAAGCCAAATATGACCAAAATCGGTTAAGAATTAACTGCGTAATGATTTTTCTTAGTGAGGCAAATTCCTAGCAACAAAAAATTCACTAACTATGCATTCACCCCACGCCAACAAAGTGACTGCAGGATAACTCATGCAAAGATTTTCATCTTCAACTGATTTTGATTAAATTACACGTATCATCATTGATAACCATACGCAATGGTTATCGAACTCGCTTTTGTAGTTTTAAGTTTTACAGCCAAAAATGTGATCTTAGTAACGTATTTTCATTTATGGTTGATTTATAGAACAGCTAAGAAAGTTTTCAAACTCCATCAATTATAGAGTATTTTTTCTGTAAATTTTAAGATAAGGAGAGTCAAAATCGGTTAAGAAACCGCTACAATATTCCATTTAGAAACTTGGTAGCCACGCAAAGCATTTATATAGCTGACAACAAATGCTATGCTAACGCTAAATTTGAGGAATTCGTGGTGTTTATTATGTAAATCACTCAATTACAAGTATTAAATAAACAAGGTCCTAAAAAAAGAGGAAATCTTAGTGAGGTGGTGCAGTTACAACTAATAAATAAAATTAGATTGCAGAATTTTTGCATCACCGCTCTCGGTGCCATTTTTACTATAAACTTTGCTTGTACATACGTGAATTCTTGATTTTACTGAGTAAATTGAGACTTCAAGAAGATGTTTTTGCTACAAATTTTGCGAGAATTGGGCTAAATTTACTGAGATAAAATATAATTGATAAACTATTGTGAACTATATACGGATTTGTTTTAAAAAATTCTAAAAAGCTAATCTATAATTTCCCTTATTAATTTGGATATTCTATTATTCTTACGAACAGACCAAATAAATATTTTAAATGATTATTGCTTCCAGAAAAAATTGTACCAAGAGCGGTGATGCAAAAATTCTGCAATCTAATTTTATTTATTAGTTGTAACTGCACCACCTCACTAAGATTTCCTCTTTTTTTTAGGACCTTGTTTATACTGTTTTATACTCAACGAAACCTTAGTTGAAAAATGATTTCATACAATTCTGAGAATTTTAAGTGACGGATGAATTCGTTATACGAGAATTCCTTGTATTTATTTATATTTGCTCAGTCAGTCACTCAAATTCTTTATCCGTCTGTACTTCATACATTTGTACCTGTGAGACGGTAAAAAAACTACCTGAAATCCAAACGGAACTCGTATACCAAATTAATCATCACAATTCTTTACCCATAGTTATTATAATGCTTTGTGGCTGTCTCTGTCAGTGGCCGCGGAAGCGTGGGGACAGAGCGACAATGTCCCCACGGTTGTTCGGTGTCCCCATCTGTCCATGTCATATAAACCCCTCCGTCCCCTATCCTGCAATGTTAATGTCCCCACGGCTTCCGCGGTCACTGGTCTCTTTTCACGACCACTGTTACAAATCTTACTGCATAGATCATAAAGAAGAAGGCGAGAAAAATGCACTTGCACTTCCGTCATTCGAGGAATGGAATGATTCCTCCGCTGACTTTCTTTGTGAGCCAGATTGCAGACGTGGCGTGATTGACAGGTGTTATTCGAATATTTTGGGAATGAATCATCGTCCACTTTAAACGAAAATACTATAAAAAGCCTTAAAATACTTCAACCAACTAGTTTGAAGTGTAATCGTATAATTTATGAGTTTGTTATTGGCTTCTTCTTTTTTATATCTTCTGGCCTGGATTTGATGGATGTGCAAATTGTCTGTGCGTGCGTATTGAAAAGTCATAACATCTCTGACTTACTTATCTATTCATTTTATATTTTTATGCGATTAAAGGATTAGGATTAGGATTCAAGTGTTGATATTTTTGCTAAGTTGGAAAGTGGCGTTTCATTCGTGGAGGATAAATTTAAGAGGAGGAGAGATGTTTTATGGATCCAAATGTTTACTGGGAATTGTGAGTAATTTACGGACACTTAAATACATACATGTGTAATAATAAGGCTTATTCGTGATAGGATTAATTGTAGGATGTACATACGCACAACGATTATGTAAATAGCAGTAGTTGAGATTGTGTATAGTATTCCATTTCCTACTTAAGGCTAATTTCCTGCAATTCTCCATCCAAAGGATGAAAAGTTTGTGGAGGGAAAAGTATCGTAGAGTATTTATGAATAGTTTTATAATTTTACGAATTTTAAATCAACTTGAATTCAAAATTTTAATGCTTCCAGCAGAATAGTGAAAATTCCGTTTAAATTGACTGAATTCTTAAATAAAAATAATTATTTACGACGGTCCACCCCAACAAATTTATTCATAGGAAAACAAAAATCATTAGAATTTCCCTTGTTTTTTTAATTATTTCCTTTACGACCGGCATTTATTTATTTTATTGCAGTTAACTGTTCTAGTCAGGGTGGAGTGGGAGGTGGTTAATTGCTATTCTCGTAGGAATAATTATAATATGTGGGCATATGCCCACAAAGGAACGCCGTTAGCTTGGCATACATACTTTTTGTTCAGGTGAGTGAAAAAAAACTGGTTATAAAAACGTATATGAAAATGCAGATTATTATTGTGCCGGTCTGGGTTTTATTAGAATTTGTCAATACCAAATATGGAACGTACATATGTAGATTTGCAAGATTTTGTCGTAAAATAACTACTATTCAATTCTTACCACCTTGGATTAGGTACATACATTTTCACTGTTTGCAACATTTCTGTGCCGAATTTCGGGCTAAATTTCATCTCACGAAAGAAATGAACAAGACGAGAATCACGTCCACTTTGTAATTTGCATGCCTGAAAGAAATAGGCTGGAAGAAGAGGAGGAAAGAAAGATGTAATAATTTGAATAATTTTAGAATTTCTAAACAACTTTTGCTCCTTTTCCTCCCAGGTTCGCCATATGCCGAACCGACTTATATT